AGAAGTCCGGCCATGTTCGTAATGCGTCGGACTCCAATATCCCTGGCCCTATGCCTCCTCAGCCGCCCTCTCACCAGGATAGCTCCTATGCGTCGAGCCCAGCCTCATCCATGAGAGGCCCTAATGCAGGACGTGCGTTCATAAATGATTTAGCAGCGACCCCAGAGCGTATGAGTTCCGACGAAGATCGAACAGACCTTCCGATCCGTGATTTCGAAGGAATGCGGAGGATGCCAACTCCGGAGCCGGTGTCCCAACCTCCCAGTTTCTCCCACGCGCCTGGCCATGTTCCTACGACCCGTCCTTACCATTCACCCGAGATGCGTCGCGCTAATAGCCGCTTATCCATGACTACCCTTGCGCAGCTTGCAACAGCTGGCGGCGTCCCCGTAGGCGAGGATCCACGAGATAATGAAAGGAGCAACGAGGAGCGCCGTGGGCCACCTTCACGGGGACCCGACCAACGTGGTCAACAACTTCCGGTACATGCTCACGCCAACAACGCTGGGATATCTGCTAATGCCGGATCTCGTGAAGTTTTAAGGGAAAACCAGCCACAGTCTCCCGGACTACCACCGCCTCAAATGGACCCCTCCGGAATGAGATCGAGATCGCCGCTAAACCAAACTATGGGCCCTCCACCCCCTGGCCCACGAGGTCCCAGCCCAGGTTCCGGTAATCGACCAAAAACACCTACCTCTCGACCCGGCACTGCGTCCGGTAATCGACCACCACAACCTGGATACGGCCCGCCTCCAGGTAACATGCCCCCAGGTCAACGAGGACCACCTTATGGTATGGCCCCTCCCGGAAGAGGCCGCGGCCGTCCCCCACCGAATATGGCTCCAGGGCGAGGCCGACCAAACTACCCACCTCAGGAGAACATGTACCGCGGCTATCCACCGCAAGGCCCACCAGGCCCTGGCGGCCCTGATAGACCTAGATCCCCAGCTAACCGCCAACCTTTGCCACCGCTGAACACTTCTCCCCCTATTCACAGAAAACCACTTCCAGCTCGTAGCGACAGTCTACAACACCGACATATTCGCGACGATATGACACCACAGTCCCCATCCACAAGCAGTGGAAGTCTAACGGGCAATCGCATCGATGCGGCTGGACTAGGCCAGGTCCGTCCTCTTAATACGACACCTCGAGCCCCTCCAAATGTTGGCGTACATCGCGTTGATACTAGCAAAAGCCAATCAAGTAGCCGTTATGATGACTCGGCATCTACCGATAGCCCTGACTACGCCAGTTCTCGTCCTTCGACGGATACGGCAACCTCCAGTGACCGGGAGCGGCCACGAGCAGGTGTCCTCCGAACAATTGGGAATGCAGATGATTCTCCAACACAAGCCCGTGGCGCGAATTTTGATATTCCGGACATAGATTTTGGCCCGACTTTGAATTATGGAACAGCACCTGTCGCGAAGGCACCAACACCTACCAACCCGCAGCCTAGATCGTTCTCGCCCGGACCTCGCTCTAATTCGCCGGCTCACGTACCTCCACGTAGATCACCTGGAGCTGAGATGGGACATAACCGACAAGAGTCAGAGGATACATTGCGACGTAGCATGATCTGGCAACCTGCAACTCCTGGATCTGGTCCCGGGGGACACGGCCTGTCACCCGAAGAGTTTGTCCAGCAACGAGCGGTTGCTGCAGCAGTTACGCCGCAATATGTGCACCAGAGGCATTCATCAGGGATGAGTCTTGGGGGTTTGAGAGCGGGTACGCCAACGCCTCCATTAAACCGTAGTCAAGGCTCGGATTATATTGGTACACACTCCCGAAATAATTCGCAAGATCTCTTGCAGCGTCCAAGCTCTCGGGGGCCAAATGAGCTACTCCAACGCCCCGGGTCCAGAGGTGCCGGTGCTGTTCTTGGCGGACAAGGGGTCAACGACGCGCATCTCTCAGCTCGGGAGCAAGAACATGTAGCGCGTGTGACAGGCTCTCCTTTAATTAATATGGCAGGTAATAGGAATGCACCACAAACCAGTGGAGGTCTAGTAGGTGCAATCGAGGCAAGAGAGCGAGAAAAGCAACAAATGAAACAGGGTTGGAGTAGTCAGGCTGCACAGTACGCAATCAATCAGCGCCAGCAACAGCAAGCTTTTCAACATTATCAACAACGTACACCGTCGCCCAGTATGCCACCGCCTGCTGGAATGTATTCTAATATGGGTCGCGGCAACGTACCTCAGACTCCTGGCTACGGTGGTTTTGGAGGACCAAGTCCAATGTCTTACGAACAAGAAGGCGGCTGGTCGTCGCCTGGGCCGGGATTTAGGTCTCCACCCCCTGGGAACTTCGATCCTCGCACAAACCAACAGGGCATGCAACCATACGCCCAATTCCCAGCACAGAGTCCACCGCCTGGTGGACGAGGACAAAATCCTCCTTACCACGGACACGCATTTTAACCGATATATGACAGAACATTAAAACGCGCCGGATAGCATTGTTGGACGCGTTCACTAATTCCTTGGTTTGAAGATTCTTTACGTCGAAATATTTATAAGAATGGATGTTCTTCAAAGCGCAAGCGAGTACTCATCAGTAATCTTTTTTCCTTTTACTTAATCGGGTTGGCAATTAACGAGTCATACGGTAGAAAGGCATAGCATAGTCCCCGGTACTCATTTGTTATTATGTAAATATTTTGGTCCTTTCGAGCTCTTGTCTTACCTCCAAGAGGAGGTTATTGCATCTTCAGCATCAAACGGATTACTGAAGTTATCGGAGCGTGGTTATTCTTAGTGTATATGAATGATACTTTATAGTACACTCTGCTACTAGTTGATTGTTTGACTTGGATGTGAGACCACTTTGATTTCTTACTCGTTTATATTAGTTATTGCACTTTAAACTCATGACAACTTCAAGGTTAACTTATTAGTTCACTCGTAGGGCCTCTTGCGACTCTCGGAAACGCCGCCTATCCACCATTTCTAACACATACCCCTAATTGTGTCTTGGACTATATCCGATTCGGCCAATTGGGGAAGCTTTCCCTAGCCGCCGTAAATAGTATAGTCTTAACTTTATTAGTACTATGAGTTGTTTGTGGTTCTTTAGAATTGTATACGGTGAAGATTCTGGATAGGAGCTTCTGTGCTAGATAGGTTCTTCATATACATTCACTAAGGTCTCTCTTATTATTAATACATATAATACATAGAAAGGAACGCAATAAACACTAATCAACTAACATATGCGTACTCCACGTATAGAATATCCAGCTATGCATATACTATACTTCCATCACGTGAGAATATATTGTACCGATAGAATATCTCAATAGCCAGTTCAGGTAGCATTCACCCAGATAAGTGCTTTACTTCTTAAAAGATAGAATCGTTCTAACTATGTCTTGCGATGACACTACCTCAGGTCTATTTTCTGCAACTTCACAGGCAAGGAACGAGCGCAAAACGAAATTCAAAAAAGGTTAAAGTTAGCAGTGGATGAGACATGTAGAATAATAAGGGTTCAATCACCTGCTAAGGGTCTCCGAGTTTAGCTTCGCAGGGCTGACACTCTACAGGCATGACCCCATACGGTGGACTATTAGTCCAACTGTGCCAAAATCAAGAAAATGGGTGGGAGCTGTCCAAAAAGGGTAATTTAATAAGCAACGCTAGGTGCACAGTATCCCGAAATACCTGATATAAGACTTTTTATATTATTTATTATTATTTTTATTATATATATATACATAACACGATATATATTCAAATAACTTCATGAATACAACGCTTCAAGTATTATAGTTGGTATCATTTTATAGCCTTAATCAATGCGAAAGTAACAATCCAAGTTGCATGTTTATAAGATATATATTGGATAGTTGGCTTGTTGAAATATCTGCGGCCTTTTCAAGATGTTAGTCTTGAAGGGTATCACGTGTTATCCTCTCGACACAACACCTAGTCACTTGATATTAATACTAGTATAATATGCCAGTTTAAAGACATATAAGGATGCAATTTGGATTGTTATTTTCGCATTAATTGAAGCTATAAAATGATACCAATTATAATTTTTAAAATAGGATATTCGCGAAGTTATTACAGTGTATAAGTTGTATCCTGTATATTTACGTATTTGTATATATTTAAGGTTAAAGTAATGGTTGAATCTTATTGGTTATTATTTTTAATTCGTGGGCTAGTTTATGGGGAAAGGGAAGGTAGCCTGCAATGTATTGAATAATGCTTATATTTTTAATATCTTCACGAATTCAAGGTCAAGTTATATAAGCCCTAGGCTGAAATTTTTGTCTTTTTTTAATAAAAATACCAATACCAATTTTAAGTAATTCGAACATATATTAGTAAAGTTATCCCCATATAAAAGGTATATACTACCTTATAAAGTGTGTATATAGTAGAAATAGCCGAACTTATACTGTAATCTTAATGTTACTATTACCTTATTTGATATAGTGCGACTGACTTTTTTGATTTTGGCACAGTTGGACTAATAGTCCACCGTACCCCAGCTTTGCCCCACATGGCTCCGAAGCTTATCGCAGCTGCCGACTAAACCTAAGGGAGGGGCAGCTGCCTGACGCAACATGTCGCATTGCCAACATTGAACCCTTTTAGACTCACTCCACGTGCTTTCCCATACTTTCAGCCTTGCTCATGCTCTTTCGGTTCACGGGTTACTTTGCAATCTTAAACCTTTTTATTTTTTATTTTTTACTCGTGTTCAAAAAGGACTGCTTCTATTTTTATTCTACTAATTTCTTTTGCATCTACCGAACTGCTCGCATACCTTTATTTTAAGTACATACATACATACACTTGACACTTCTTAGCATTCGTGGATGTGTTGACGTTTAGACCGGGTCTCCTTATCCACTGCTCTGGTTTAACATTGCAACCCTTACCATATACTCTCGAACATCTGATCCATTTAAACAACCGAGTTCCTCCTTCGATTCAGTTATCCGTCTCGGGTAACATAGATACTCTGTCGGCCAAATGCCTAGGAGGACGCTGCGTATTCTCTGCTTCGGCAACTCGCTAACGTCTGGGTTCCCGGTGGGCAAGCCGTACGCAGAGAAACTTACTGAGAAGCTGGAGGAAGCGCTGCTAGGTCACGGCTATGGCGAGATTCAGTATGAGGTCGAAGGCGTACCGGGCGACTTGGTAACGCGAGGTTCGTTTCTCGATCGAATGCGGGATTCATGTGAGTTCTTCTACTTAAGGTCGCTTTCTACGAAATACATCCTCGGCTTATTCCGATATCACATATATCAAACAGTCTATTCATTCAAAACTAGTCCCGCTCCAACAATAAAATCAAGCCAGCTGACTAGCCGATTTAAACTGACATATTCTATTAGGGAAAAAGAGATCGGAATTTTATGACTGGACTATTGTATTAGGTGGAACGAAGTAGGTTGCCTTCCTCTAGCTCAGCCCACCTCCTTTCAAATTATACATTCATCTTCATCTGTATCTCTAAGAAGGGGAATCATCTTAACCATTCGAGCACCTGCCTGGAGCTTCTAAGCTAACCTTAACTTTTACTCATATATAGTGACCTTGGTTGGGGATGTGCGGTTGATGATATCGTCGCTGGCTTGAAACGGACCTGGGATATACCACTCCTGAAGGGTAGCAAGGTGCTAGCCTTGACGATACCAGACACCAGAGCCCGATATAAGGATGTTAAGGAACGACGAGATGAAGTAAACAACGCCATTAAGGAATACAGGAAGCCAAACTTGTAAGTGATACTGCTTTCCTCAATTATCTTATATGAGAAACGATACCTTCGCACTACTATCGCCGGGAAAGGGGGGCCTCCTAGCTTCTATCGGTTCTTAAACAGATGTAAGATATTGTATACATGGTATTAACATTACATGCTATAGTTTCTATTTTGACTTACACAACGCCATACCCTACCACAACATGGAACCCTCAGATAGACCTAAGTACTGGCAAATGGACGGCGTGCACCTAACAGAAGACGGCTACAACCTAATGGGGGAGAAAATCGCCACAGAACTTATCAAGCTCATAAGACTTGCGGAAGCTCAAGACACGGATATTAGCAGCATCGCAAAGGATGCGCGGCAGAGGCAAGCCATCGAGGACATGATATATGAGGAAGAGAGAGGGAACCCGAGACTACTTAGCCAAGGCTACATCGTTGTGCGGAAGACAGATCTAGATTAGATTAATGCATTAAGAAGCTTTTATCTTCATTTCATTCATTCATCCTAACACTCTATTTCGTGGGGAGGGATATTCTAGTTAGAACCCCCTGTACTATTTACAACGTGTCTGTCCTTGACGCCGTTTCTATGCATTTAGTCATTATCCGGCAACGCCATACTCGTAAGCTAAAAATTCCCTACATGCTTCGTTTCCCTTTTCTTCTCCCCCGTTTGTGATTTAGTCTACCCGTTATGCTTCTATCATACTACTAGATTCGCCGCGACGAATTCCGGAAACTCGCGTTGCAGCGCGTTGGTCACGTTTTCGACCTCTTCGGCTAGGCTCTGAACGTTGGCGTCCCATCGGCGCATCTCCTTTCCTACGGTTACTTCGGCGCGACCGCTACCCTTCTCGCCCGAAGCTTCGCCACGCTCAAACCAGATTATTCTTTCTATCTGGTCGATGCGGCCCACGAGACGGCCCTGCTCTATCATCTTGGCAGTCGTGTCCTCGGCACGATCAGCCGCCAATCCCAGCAGCTCGCCTAGCGCGTCGAACCCAATATTGCTGTATAGTCGCGAGACACCTAGCAGGTTGTGTTCTACGACGGCACGAGCTAGCACCGTGGACCCGTCTGCTGTCGTCGCTAACTGGTGAGGCGCAAGGCCTTCGGCGAACTTCTGCACCTCGCTCGCTGCTAGTAGTCGGTCGAAGAACATCTTCTCCAGCATGCCGAACTCGGGCAGGTTCGGCGAGCGCTCGTCCTTGAATAGCCGTCCCAGGGCGCGGCTGCGCAGGGGGCCGGCGGGGGCTAGGATGGCGCATTTCACGGCCATGCTGAGAGTGTGCAGACGCTCGTCCTCGGAAATAGCGGGCGATAGGCTGATTTCGTGGTAGGCCTGGCTGGCGGGTAGGAACTCGCGCTTGGCATCTTGGATGCGGGCCTGCGAGAGGCGGAAATGTAGGTTGAGAGTCGGGTCGGTGACCTGGTAGATGACGTTCTTGAGCTTGTTGAGGTAGGTCTCGGCGGCGGTGGTATCGTCGACTTCGAGGTAGTTGCGCACGATGCGGATCCATACCCGAACGCGGTCTTCGGGCGACACCCGGCGCTGGGAGCTGTCGAGGGGGATCTCGGAGAGCGCGCGGGCGGCTGCTACGTTATCTTCGTTGGTCTCGTAGCCGTCGGCAGCGAGCTCAAGTAGGGCAGCGACTTGGTCGGCGAAAGTACCCGAGGTCGTTGCCGATGTTGCGGTGGAGACTGATGCAGAAGCCTGGCCGCTGGCAGCGGAGAGTGTCTCGAGAGCGTGGTTGGCGATGTCAACCCATAGGTCTGCGTTGTTGAATGCTCTCGCGGCGGCGATGAATGAGTTGAGGAGAGAGCGCTGGGCGACGACGCCGAGCTGCGAGGAGATCTGGCTGTTTGTGATGGCTTCTATGGTGGCCTTGAAGTCGCTTGATGCGGTCTGCGGCGTCGATATGGATTGGAAGTTGGTGAGGAGGCTTTCGAAGGCTGTTGCTGGGTCTGGAGACGACTGCACCTGGGCTAATGCCTCGGTGACTTTTGGGCTTGCCATGGTCGGTTTGGAGGGGGTTGTTTCTGCTTAGTGCATAAAAAGTAAGGTTGTTTGATCTATGAAGATGTCAAGATATGAAATTGCAAAAGTGGGCAAATGGGTGGGTATCACGTCAAGCAGGAAATCAAGACGGTTGAAGGTGAAGGTGAAGTTGTGATTGCAAGCTCGAAGGTGGGGCTTGTAGTTGTTTAGCTGCTGCTTGCTGTTTGCTGGTGAACGTGGGGAAGCTTGGGTGGGGTATAGAAGCCTGGAGGAGGATGCTTTATAGCGTTTTGTTGAATAAATTGTTTATCATCATATGTAGCTCTCCTAAGGAATATCTTGTCTTACACGGAATAGATCAATTGTCGCTTTTCTATATTTCTCGTCGCACTACGTATTATGATATGTTTGTTTCATTGTTATCCATTTATATACCCTTTGGTAAAAACTTAATCTTTCTATTCTACATCTAACACTTTATCTAAGAATATTTGAAAGATATGCACTACGAGTAACTTCTATATAGCTGTACAAGAGGTTGTCAGTTGTTGTAGTATTACTTGTTTCTTTATATCTAATATGAGTACATATTATACAAGCATTGAATGCCGAACACAAAGCGAGTCCGCCAATATACTAGAGAGTTAAGGGATTAGAATAAACTTAAGAAAGCCGTATACTGTTTATAAACAAATCAGGTAGTTATATTTGAGACTGTAGATCGAATGTGGGGTGTCAAGGATGAAGCTGGGGTTGAGAACTTGTATTGTGAGGATGTCTGAAGGTGAGGCTCTTTTTTACTTGAATTACTTGTATAGGCATGTATCTAAAATGCCACTTTACTTTAATCTCGTATTTGGTCATGTTTACTTTTTATGACAACAATGTCCCGTGTATTTAATCCTAAGATCGATTAGAACGGTATCAATCGGATTTCTTATATACTAAAAAGACGCTATTTTCGGTGTGATCAGACCCCGGCTTGCATCGAACTCCCTATGATCTGCAGAACAAGGTATTAACGAAACCGTAGACCCTAGAGAGCCACTCCTGTCGTATAAGTAATTTTCGGCTTGCCATATAGAATCAAGTCTTCAGACTGGTAGGTTGGCAAGGCATTTTACTATATAGTTGCCTACGTATAGCAAGTCAAAGTATAGTTCCACTATTGTGGCTGCGTATTGTGCACATGAGCTACTGCATATCAACCATTCATCCGATGCATTAGCAACCTCATGTGTGAAGAATGTCGAATCGTCATTGGCTTAAAGTCCTATTTGGAGGATTCAATCATTTGGAATATCGTACCTCCTTCTTGCTCGACATGTATTCTGGCACTTTAGGCTCTCCCGTCGTCGTTTGAAAAATAGCTATGTATATAGCTATGGGTACTTATCTGCCCAATAGACAAAATGAACGAACGCCTTAATTAGTCTTATCTGTTAGCTGATGAGAGGATAATGGCTGGCTATGATATTAGATTTCATTCTGCCACAACCCTATAATTGAGTGTGAAGGTTATAGAATTTGGTTTGCATCACGGTCGATCTTGGTACGCAAACGAGTTGTAAATGGATCTGTCATACTTTGACTACGTGAAATATTTATCTCGGGACCAACCCGATCTGAGGCCCTTATCCGAGTTTCTTACCGGCCCTTGCCAACAGCCGGATGTTGAGGAAGTTGAGTGTCACGTTGCAGGCCTAGAGTTTCGTAGCGATGGAACCACACGCTACTCTAGGATGGGCACTGACAAGCTGAACGATACGGCTTCAAGATTCATCGCAAAAGATATGTCCTCGAATGCCGTTGGACTTTGTCTTCTTGTAGAGGATATTGGCCCTAGTGCCATGGAGACCCTGGGTGGAATCCTGGATGTCGACCCTTATTTCTTCTGTGGGCATATTGAGAGGAGATTCGTAGATATCGAGAAAGACCCGCCATCATCTCTCATGACGTCTATTCCGTCTCGTATCGGCTCCCAGAGCTTCGCGAACTTCCACTACCAGCGACCGATCGATTTAGGAGAACTGGATGCATACCCTAGCATCCCACACGATCTTCGTCTCCGCGGTAGTTCTACGCGACCTCGTCGGGCTCTCCCAGAGCTCTTTGGAAGATATGTTGGACTCATTCGCTCATGCTTCTCTATACTATATAAGAAACTTGACGGTGATCGATGGATCTGTATGTGGTTAAACCTACCTTACCTATATGCTAAGTCCCTTAAGCTTCTTTCTTGATTTCTAGATATATTGTAACTTTTCTGGCATCTCATATTTTCGTCAATAGCTAATATTGATTAGGTCTAATGTTGATGGACTCTATATCAACTGATGTTATAGGTTATCTCTCGGCGAAGGATAAGGCACAAGTCGCCAGCTTTCGAACACGCCAAGTTCCATATCGGAATAGGAGAGGCAACATTAATGGGATGCCAAAATTCTCGGAATTTCGCCAAGCTCAAGGTTCTAGGGATGTACGCCCTATTTCTATGATGGACGAAGTCGCAAGGCTATTAGAGGATTGCGCACGCGCGTCGACGAGGCCACCGTCAACTTACAACCTATTCTTCTTATCGACAGGTCCCATTAAACTAATTATTGATGAGTGGCTAACATATTCGCTCATTATGAGCCGGTATATCAAAGTATATGAATACTCGACACAGAGTGTGCAAGATCGCTTAAGAAATTTCGAGAGCGAGGACGTCGTTGATCTGTATCGGTGGCGGCGACGGAGTCAACACAGCTTACACAAGCTTCAGGTCCTAAAATGGTTCGTTGAATCATCGTTGAAACCTTCCAAGAGGCATCATGACAATTCTCCTCTAGTCGAAGAGGGGGAGGCTCTAATACGGGATATCAACTATATAATATCCCAAATCGAACAGAATGGGAACGCACTTGAAGCGATGATACCTATCATGGCGTCTATCATCCAACTTTTAGACTCACGTAGGTCAGTCGTTGAAGCGATATATGTTAAACGATTAACATATATCGCGATCGTATTCCTTCCGCTCTCTTTCGTCGCAACTCTCTTTAGCATGAGCGATAATTTCTCGATCGCTGGTACTGGAGTTTGGATATATGTGGCAACTGCTGTTCCTCTTTTATTAGTGGTCTTGATGGTCTCCAGCCTGCCTGCTCGAGCGGCTTTGAGGAAGGCGAAATTACTTCGAAGGGGTGTGAGCAGGTTGCATTGAGATAAGCTGCGCCAACCTACCTACAGCCTACATATAACATATGTACCTCATTGGTAGGTACCTACCTAGGAGGTACCTAGGTAGTCAAGTACTACATATGTTGCTACACGTGTAAAACTTTACTTAGTACGACAAAGCTAGGCTATTGGACCTGAGGTACAAATATTTAAAGCTGGAAGGTACGAGGAAGATGACAATGCCTAGCTTTCTTTTCTATTCTTAATTCATACGGGCAGCATCTGATGTTGTAAAGCTAACAGTTATATCTACAACTATTTTGACATATTGAACAGCCCCTTTTCAATAAATAGAATGATAGTCGGGAGTTTAATCATTACTATTTGCATTTAATTCAATATAAACCCATCATACTATACATACTAGCGGTTTATTGTCGCATTTTCACTGATTACTGGTGAGGTCTGCGTTACCGACCTGACCACGTCTATATGAAACGAAACAATCACTGCATACCTCCTATAAAGCTTTTAGATCCAATGGAAAGAGGCCTACGCCCAGAATTAGTTGACGAGTTTAGGAAGATATACCCAGATAAAAAGTCTGCTATAAACGAACATGTTAGGAAGGTCAAGGAGATACTCGAGGATGCGACCAAGTCTGGAGCATTTCGAGCAATCCCAATTACAACGAGAATGAAAGAATTCGACTCGGCACTGAATTCCCTTCGAAGAAGGCAAGCTGCTAGATTCGAGCGAGAGGAGCTTAGGAAGCGAGTGTCTGACGGAGGCGGGAACTGGGAATTATATTGGAAACGACGTGGAAAGGAGCAGAGAATCAACGACTGTGGCCCGTTTGAGGACGTTGACAGCATGTTGAACGCTCTACACGATTTTGGCGGCGCGAGAGTCTGTGTTTATTTCCCAGACGATGTTGAGAACGTCATATCGTTTCTCAACCGATCCGAACTTATTAAAGTTATACATATCAATCGCAAGACTCAAGGGGCTACAGACATGGACGAACTCAGGGAATATGTGGAGATGTTAGAGCAGCAGTCTTCATCACCTTCGGATAAAACCTATCAAAAACCAGAGGAGAAATCAGTCACGAGTGGGAGGCTATTTCCAGGATATCGCGCAACTCACTTGGTCGTTGAACTGCTGGGAGATGCAGTCCCGGAATGGCATAGAGGCTCTCATTATAGGGTCGAGATTCAGATAGGCACCGTGGTAATGCATGCTTGGTCACAGATCGAACATGACATCATTTATAAATCTGGAGGTAACGAGCCTTCGGACGAGGAAAGAGGAATACTAGACCTGTTTAACGGAATCGTCATAGCGGGGGAGGCGGCTCTAAAGCAACTTGCAGCGTGCACTGCACGTAAGGAAAAGGACCGATCCAGGGATGACAGCGCGGCGGCAACTAATCGTTATGAATTAGGCGCTTGGTTGGCTGCGTACTGTGATGAATACTCGCTTCGTCCTGGCGGAGCGGCAACACCGCCGGCCTGGAACGAACTGGACAAACTACTCGATATTCTGCGATCGAGCGGAGAACATACTTCTGGAAAGCTCAGAGAACTTCTACAAAAGGTCCGCGAGACCTCACAGCTAGATTCTGATGCTTTCGGTGACGATCTACCTCTCTATTTACTCAAGGCCAAATTTGATCTAGCTACTAAGACGACTCCACGATTCTCTTCAGAGGCGATACAAGATCGGAAACAAAAAACAGCTGCAGAAGCGAGATATCTTGCTTCTCAAGTTGTTCATTCCATAAGCATGGCTTCATATCTCGGTTTTATGGATGAATTTCTCGACAGTATTGAGAGTGCGCTCCCAAATCCAAGCGAGCTTCCGCGCCCAGCTGTAATAGATTTCATCGAATTATTACATCCACAGTATCCGCGCCTGAACCGAGAGGCAGAAGACAGAATAATAGAATTCTGCGAAGCATTTTTGGATGTTAAGAACTTACAGAAGGTTGTCAAGAGAAGGAAAACACTGCTAAAAATGGAGTTACCTCTTCTACTTACCGATATAGGACGTGTCGTCTCACCCATCAACAATATTAAACCTACACAAGACGAAGTTCTTACCATTGTCCCGCGATCACTGTATAGAATATTACATGACCCGGACCAGACATTTATGGTTCCCGAGATACTCATTTGTGTAGAACTGATAACCAGCTTCTCACATGGGCTGAATCCAAAAGAAGAATATCAGAGGCTACGTATAATATGGAGGGAATTTACTGTGGTACAATCGTCACCTTTTATTATAGTGTCGATATGTAGAGATTCAAAATATGAGAATGTAGGTACTCTAGCTACGCCATATGGAGGCATTGACCCCATAGTTGTTACTTTCTACTTATCTGTTATACTGAATAATGGCTTATTTATCACCAGGTTGAGTACAATCCTAATATAATACATGGCCGTATGAGGATGCAGCAGTTTTCGGGAAATTTGAAAGATCATCCAGGAAGTCAACTTCACTCTCTTGACAACAGCTGGTGGGATTTGGTATTTGAGAGATCGCTATTCGCTAAGGAAACAAGTCGGCCACTCACATCCGCCCTCATATCTACAGCCACCCTATCTCATAATGGAGTCTGCAACGACATTATTTCAATAGAGGCTGGCTGTTTCGAGCCAGTATGGTCCGACACACCAACCTGGCGATATGTACGAAGACAACCTACTCAGTGGACGGTAAGAACAGTCGACCTTTCTAAACATTCCTCTCGACAGAACATCGAAAAGGTGGCTCGTAAGAGCCAGTGGGCTGATCTTGCTAAATATCTGAAGCCTGAATACTACATAGCCTTAGAAGATTGCAACGAACCATCGCAGAAGAAATACACTATCAAGGTCGGGGAATTTCATTTCACTATCGAGAGCCGAGGGGATAAATTTCATTTTCTATATGAATCACGGCCATTAAAGTCAGATATTACGGATCGTCTACCGCTACCAACTGAAATTTAGGTGTTAAAAGATGCTATCCAATGCGACGATAGGATACTGACTGGAGGAGTGGAGGGAGAGGCCATCAGGCTATGGCGAGCCTGTCTTTAGTTCCCCAGAGATTGTCTCGGCAATTAGTATGCTTTTACGTAAAGGAACTTGTTTCTCATAGATTCTAACACTTAACTGTAAGATGTTATTAAAAATTGTCACTGATGGACTTGAGGCTGCGAGGGAATATTGATACGACCATGTACGTCTTGGCCGTCGTGCGTACGGAGGATCTAACGTTCATTCTATCAATCGCTTACATTCCCAACTATCCCAACTATCCCACATTTTACTTTGTTCTTATCGTTGGCCTTTGCGGCCGTATAGAAAACATCGCCAGGTATCTATTAAAGTCACTATACACCAGAGAGATCGCTGAGCTCACTCCGTTCAACAAGATCCCTGACAACATGTCTTGATCTTGGCGGTAAATGTACGATAGAGCATACAGAGAGAAGTTTTTCTTTCTTTCAATGACTTGTCTACCTGACCTAAGCCGCCATAGCCATTTAAACCCTCTGAATGCATTCCCGGCTGAGTCTATCAGTAATTTAGGCAAACAGCCATCCCTAGAACCGCCTAAATACGCTTACGATGCTTCTTACGCCTTAAAGAAAGCCTCATCTAAAACCCTTCTTCTCTTGAAACAGTGCAAATACCATCAAACCACCATCCCCAGCCTCCACAACCAGATATCTACCCATCAATGCTGCAGCACAACCGGCTTCCCCTCCTCCCAATTACTAACCGCATCTTTAATATTAACCCAATACCTCAACCTAGTAACCTCCCTCCTAGCCCTCTCCCCCCCATCATCCCCCTCCCCCTCCTCCTCCTCAAACGCCCGAGCAAGCCTGTCCTCGCTCTCCCGTATCCTCGCCTCATTCTGCACCCTCAGCGGCTCCAGATCCTCCTCGCACTCGGCCTCCTCGATCGCCTCCCGCGTCTCCAGCACCAGCATCAACAACTCCGGGTCCTCGACCCGCCCCGCCTCTTCCCCCGCCGCGTCGATGCCCCACCGCTGCCGCAGCAGGTACTGCGCGCGCGCCAGCGGGTCCGCCAGCGTCCGGTACGCCTCGTTGATGTACGCCGAGGCCGCTTCCGCGCGCCGCTTGGAGGACGCGCCGGCTGGCGCGAGGTCTGGGTGCGCGGTCGCTTGCAGCGTTAGGAATTCGCGGCGCAGGGCGCGCACGTCGATTGCGAAGCGGCCTTTTGGCGGGGGCCCTTGGGGCAGGGTTTGCGGGAAGAGGTCGTAGTGCGATATTGGCTTCTTTCCGTCTTGTAGTTCTGTACTAGCCGGCTTGAGGGGTTCCTGTTCTGTTGCTGAGGCTTCTTGTTCGCGGGGTGAGGATGATGCGCTGCTTGATAAGTGTCGTCTTGTTTGAAGATTTAGGGTATTGCTGTTATTGCTGTTGCTGATGTGTGTTCTGCATGGGGTTGGTCTTATCGTGGTGAGTTGGCGAGAAGAGGGATTCCTGTTAATTATTGTTGAAGTCGCATGGAGGCTCTGCTGCTGCCTGCAGGCGTCGCAGACACGCCGTAGCGGTCTTCGAGGTAGTAAAGAGGATCGCATTAGTACCGAGTATTTTTTGGTAATCTTTCTAACTCTACCGCGGTAGTACGTAACAACACTTATATTAGGTAGGTTAGGTATTCTTTGATTTTATTCTTGGAGTTTATTTCAAAGACTAAGAAGAAGTCGAGGTTTGGCGTTGGAGCGATTTGGAGAAAGAAGCTTAAAATCGGAACAATGACGTTTGCTGCGGTTTTCTTCGGCCATAATTCCGCACATCAAAATCTCGGCGCCGAACAGCCGGTATATCCGGTGTTAAGGACCCGGAGCATTTTTGTTAAGTACCTAGGTACATAATAGTCAAACTTATTTGAATAAAAACTGTATTTACTCTTATCATAATGCCATAATATATAATATATAATATTTAATTCCAAATGATAAAAACTAGTCTCCAATTATTACATAGATAGGGTATCATGTATAAGCATAAATATAATAACATGGGAGTCGTACCCATCCTCCCCTTGCTTCCCCCATATTCCAGATATATTTGAACGTAAATTTCCTCCCATGCCCATCAAATGGTATATATATGTGCGTAAAAGAATCAAAAATTGTCATTATTACCCAAACTCCCCGAACTGGGTTCATCCTCCGTCGCCCCTCATCATAGTGTTACAAGACGCCAACGTCCGCGTTCCGTGTGAAACCAACGTTCGCGTTCCTTCTTGTCAGCAATGTTTCCGTTATACGAGTTCCAGCGTCCGTTGCATCCTTCCCGGCCTTCAACTTTCAGGTTCTCACCCTGATCGCCCAGTACGTCAGAAATGTCAACGAGCCCGCCGTTTTCGTCTGTCGCACCCTCATCTGGCATCACGGAGTACCAGATCTTTGACTCTACTTGGCCAATGAAACCTGCAAGGCCATAGTCTTCAGCTATGGACCCATCCTCGTTTATCACGTTTACGAAAAAGCGAGGTGCCTGCCACGCTGCCTCTAGTCTGCTCTGCGCCGCGGTTCGAGACTGCGAGAGGTTGCTCGACATCTTAGATGGGAAAAGCTGGTCTTCCATTGGGAAGCTAAGGCCTAAGGGCGACTTGCTTGGGGTCTTCGGCGTGTTTGGCGTTGTTGGAGTTGCCGGAGGGCTTGGTCGCGATGTACACTTGGAGATAAGACCGCGGAACTTATCGCTAGATGTCTCGATCTTCTCCATCGGCTTACAAAGTGACTGGAAAATTCCTTCGGGATCATTCGGCGCGCGTAGATTCCGTAAGGATGGAAAGCCGTTTGCTTCTATACTCCTAGCAAGTATCGAGTCTGCCCTATTTGCGGATGATTGGTTGCTCGTAATATCCCAGTGCAGCCTGCGCAACAACGGCGACGCCAGATAGGGAAATAACCATATCATCTCATTTGGCGGCATAATCGGCGGAGAACTTTGTACTAGCGAAAATGTCTCCAATACCGTAAGGTTTGAGAGAATCTGGCTGAGCGTCGGTAACGAGTCAACATCCATATGTTGGAGGGTAAGCTTTTTAAGTGATCGAGTCGAGGGTCGCCTGACGAAAGAGGAAAGACCTTCGCTAGATACGCCTGGAAGATGCGATAACGTGAGTGTTTGCAGCGGCGGTAATGAGAGTAGATTCGCATCATTAAAAGCTGTAAAGGGTAAGTGAGATAGATGAAGATTCTCAAGAGCTGGCAAACGGGATAATATGTCAGGTATAAGAGACACAGGTGTAAGCGTCGCGCCCGGGAGGCAGTGTATCGATAAAGTTTTCAAATGCTCCCAGTCCGCGTGAAGTTCTAAGAAGTCTTCGCTTAGCTGATGTGGTAAATCTCCCGGGGCTTCTTTGTAATTTGGGTTCTCCGAATTCAATAGCGCCGCAGCGTTCGAAAGACGGCGCTTCCTCTGAAATTGAGAGGGTTCAATGGTCCAATGCATCTCTACCAACTTACGCCTAGTAGATAATGCGTGGAATAAACGGTTGAACGAGTAGTCATGGTTCTGGTGAAATCCAACTAATCGTTCGAAATTGGGACATGCCATGATGACAGAAGCCACTAAGTTCTGGTATAAGTCAAGAGGAACACCTTGAGTCACAGCTGGAGCTTTTAGGCTATGAACCATTGCCGCCAGTTTGGGGTTTGATCTTAATGTTCGCCGAAGTAGTACGAGACGAGAACCGAAATTTAGCTTGTATCGCTTCCTTTGCATTTGCGAATCTGCCCCGACTAGTTGGATATCCTCGTATCTTTGACTATCTGTTAGTTCTTCTTGTTTAAGTCTCCGCTGTTGTAGAACTCACAGTGCGACTTGGGCGACTCTCAACAAGCCCCGCCCTGATATAGCAACAGAGCACAGATCTCTCATCATGCATGTTGCACAACTTGTACTATCAGGCTTTAGATGCAGCTTCTTTAGTTCGTCTAGAATAAGTCCCAGAACTTCTTCGGGGAGAGCAGCTAAGAGTTCCCCTGTTTCTCTCCTCCGCCTGTATTGTTTAATTGGTGCCGGTCGCTGCCATCCGTACTCGATCCTTCGTGGACTCGAATTCCAGGACTCGAGACTCGTCCTGCTGCTGGCTGGACTCGTGAGAATAGCATCGAAAGTGTCATTCGTTCTGACTGAGCTCGCAACACTAGACCCGCTACTCGAGGTCCTCCTAGAACGATTAGGTACGACAGGCCGCATATCGATCTGCGCGTAATTGCTCATCATTGCCGGTGGTAACTTTGTTGGTTGCTGGACTTGCTGAGCGTAAGTTGGCCCCATAGCGCTGAAGTTTGGGCGGTCAGCCCTCGTTACCGATTCTTTTGCCGAGGGGTCTCGTATCGTAAAAGAATTAGGAGTAAATCCGGGGTCGCGAGAAGCATACGAAGGACCCATTGTGGAGCTGCTGTCTAGCGGTGGTACGGGCTCCAACACGTTATCGTCGGATCTTGACTGAAATGCCACAGCAGATTCAGTTTGTGATCTCCGGTGTCTCGTGGTTCTAGAAGAAAGAATAGGTTTATTAGTAGGAAAGAAAGGAATTCGACTAAGAAGGATAGACATTGAAAGACCAGAGGTGAAGATCGACAGGTTTCGATGGGTCCACAGAGATTAAAAGACCGGGCGTGTGCCTTGCATCAACTAAACTGGCGAACTTTTTGGTCGGGAGCTTGGACATAGTTGTAGTTCTAGGTCCATAGCGTTTCTTGACTTGTTAACAACTGGTTAACGACTACTACATAGTCTGGGCTTCCTGGCCATATTTGGCTTAGGCTATCTAGAAATAGTCCGAAACCAGTTCAAACTCGTAATAAGCGGCCACGCTCGGCTGTTGGTAGCGCGAGGCTACCGTTATGTAGCAAATCGAGGTGGAAATTAATTAACCCCTGACAGAAATGGATGTGTTCCCTTGGGACCTTGGGACCCTTGGGAAAAGCGGCATATCACCCCAGGAACACAAAAGTAGCCAAGGAACATATGACGCCATTTCACAAGTTACATAAAAAGGGGGAATATGGCATGGAACATCCTCCTTTACTTACATAGTAGGCACAAGATAGGCCAGGAAACTCAACTTTGAGAATATATGAAGTTCAGTAAAAACCGATGTGACTGGAATTGAAACATTGAAATATTCGTACATGGCTTGGGAGCTGAGACAAGGGCTGATGCTCCTTTCTAGGTACCCCTCAAGCCATTCGGGGGTTTGCATCGAATCGAATTAAAAAGAACTTACAACGATCTAAAATTGGAGTCGGTGGCTTCGGTATGGCGCTCTAGGCTTTGGCGGTCATCACCGTTGTCGACTAGACGAATTGTCGGCGAGCTGAATGGCCTTCGGTCGCTTGTTTTAACCGGGAGTGAATTCCTTTTTTGAAGCCTTCGAACTAAAGATCGCGGCTTAAAGAAGGAAACATTGGTAAATGCTGCGTACCAGGATCGCCCCGAGTTTGACGACGAGGTAGTATCCATTACTGAAGGAGTGCCTGGCCAGGTTCAAATTCTCAATGCGTTACACTTTGAGCGCAGGGGTAATTCGGCCACCGAACTTCCCGTCGTGGTTACGCCTCGGGTCTGGTCCGGTACTTCTTCACGGAAACTTGGGCTGGGTAATTTTGTGAGACAAATGTTAACGCATCTATATTCGCTATCCTTTTCCTTCGTAGGGGTTTTCGAGGGTTCGATGTCCAATGTAAAAATGCGACAGACGCTGCCAAATGTCGTAAATGATGCAAAGTCGCAAACAAACTGCAGTCAGCGAAATTCTTCAGTATCAAAATCATATAAACTGCAAGTTAAATTGGCGGCCGAGTAAGATAAAGGGGGTCAAAGTCAGTCCAGGTCTGAGTATATTTAGGAACTAGCGATCGCGTATAATATTCGGTATATAAGAGGTAGGTAACTATTCAAATAGTATTGAACGGTAGAAATTGTATGGTTACAGTCGTGCGGGCCTCGACGACTTTTTCATATAAACCGCGACAATGTCATCGACAGGCGGCAAGGCATATATACACGTAGGTATGTAATATGTCAGCCGTCGCTCCCGGCGACACGATATCCAATAGACAGTAGCGGTTTCGCCAAGATGGCTTGAGCTGGTCAAGCTCTTCGGACCCGCAAGTCTTAGCTACAAACAATCGTGTTCTACTCACCTTAAATGCTTAAAAGCCGCTGGAACCTGTAACAATCTAACCTAGTGGTCGTTTTGCCTAGCCAACAACGGACACCGCTTCTTTGCGGTCCAACTCCCCGATAGCGCTAGGGTAGTCTTCAGGTTTTGAATAGCAGGTTCGGCGAGAACGGCTGAGAGGCTGAGCGAAGGCAAAAGGCCTTAGGGCAACACGCCAACCTCCGTTAAACTTGCAGTTCGGTAGAAGACCCATATTTAAACTTCTAAATATGGTGTCTGCACGTTATTAGGGTAGTGTACATAGTTGGTAAAGGTTGGTAAGGTAGTTGGGGCGGCAGGGCGGCTACAGTTAGGTATCCAACAGATAGGCTCGCCTCAGACCTCACGTCAGGGTTAATGCGTGTTTAATGCGCCTAATATGGAAAAGTAGATCGTGGGGTCCTCTCGAATCTGTATGGCTGAGGCTGATTGATGAAGCAGACTAGCGCAACAGGTAGATTCAGGTAGATTGAAGAATGATGGTGAGTCGAGTAAGCTGGTAAAGTCAAGACGAATCGAAACCCCCGAGCTATAGGACCTTCCCGCTTGGGATCAGCACGGCCCGTTTATTCCATGTTCCCCAGAATACCCAAACCATATTCTAGTGAGGGTCTAGTAAACGGGTCTGGTAAACGAATGATTGGAGACTTGGTGGACATGTGAGCGTGGCTGAGGTAGCCTAACCAATCCAACAAAAAAGAAGGACTCGATGCGGTGTAGCATTGATAGTGGTTGTCATAGGCGGTATAAAGTTATGAAGCTCAAAATAAATACCCTAGAAATGCAAGGGCAATTCTAGTGTAAGACCTTCAGTGCTGTCTATAATATGATATTTTAAATGATGATGCACAATCATAAAGTCAATTGTAAAGTGGAAGATGAACTTTTAAAGACAGAATATTTGTGAGATTATCTAAGCACACCTAGATGCTCTTATCGATAAATTATATCTCATTATATGCATCACCTCAATTCTTTTTTTTTTTTTTTTACAGTTCAACCTCCCGTTATGTTATTAAAACTGGAATTTACTATTCCATCATGGCGAAGTACATAATTAAATAACATCTCATCCTTCATTTTCAACCAAGGGTCCTTTTCTTGAGGCTCTCATTCTATCGGTTCACTTTTGACTTGTTAATTGTACTTTGTTGGTTAACCAGTCCCAGTAGAAGGAGGCTCAATCGGCTTATCTCCTAATATGCACGGATATTGTATCCACCCAGCCCTATCACCTAACAAGTTATAAGTTGAACGGTGATGCTGCAGAACACTGCCACTTCCACTAAGTAACCTCTGCTGACACCATGCGGTGCTTTATAGGCCGACTAATGCTTATAAAGGTCCACAAGAGTTGCATGATTTGGTTAGTCTAGTTACTAGAGATTTCATAGTTCCACGTTTCTGATCGTCCTAAATATAGACATAATAAATCTAGATGCACTCTCCAAGACTATTTGTAAAATAAATTATAATCTTCTTTAGGCTATCACGATAAACACAGTTGTCTAATAGGACATATTTTAGCCTACTTTTCTTGAGCGCTACGAAGTGTACCACTTATGGAATTAAGTAGTTCACATCGTCTAGACGATAATCCTGTCAAAAGTTAAAATATTTTCTGTAAAATACCCCTTAAAAGGGCAAAGTTTCGACACTAGTTAATCATGAAGAATTTCACCTACTCCTATATCATAATGATAGAAACAATGACGTTTATAACTGGGGATGTCACTTTGACTTGATGTTATAAATATCCGAATAAATATACCACAACACTAGGTACCTACCTAATATAACTTATTAACAACTGCTCATTCTTAGGTTCAGACGCTCGAAATTTGGTCGATTTTCCTTTTTCTCTTTTCTGTTAGCTGCTAAATGCAAATATTTATAACGAGACTAACAATGTAGAAAATAACACTCTCTGATGTACGTTTTATAACAAGCCGTTACCCCTATTACCACTGTTCCGCTACAAAGTAGCAATACCTTCAATATATACCGCCTTGTCTTTAAGTATGTTTATATAAACACTTAATAAATTTAAAAGGTATCGTAATTAATTCCCAATATATTGCTTCATATATGTAGTCCATTCGCTTGTAATTTTTAATGCTCTCAGTTCACCGTACTTACACTCTTTCTGTTTATTTCGAAACAATACAAGCCGTCTTCCATTTCCTTATTGTCGACGCCTGCGCCTAGTAGTTATGAAACGCAGTCTAGTGAAGCACATCATAAGTCCTCATTAACTATTATTCTTAACTTGTTAGTTATTTGTGACTCTCTTTGTGCGTCCTTTCGTAATTTACATAACTTGTAGCTACGCTTCTAGTCGATAATGTGAGAGTGAGCAGGAAGTGAGAGTATGACTCTGTTGAAGTATGATGGAATACGATGAAATACAGATCGAGCTGAGAATAGCCAACCGATATATCCAGGAGCCCTTTGTCTTGTATGTCTTAGTGGTCTAGGGATCTGGCAGGTAATGCTAATCAAGGACCTACGTATAACGGAAGACCTGGTACTCAGGAGTAAGGTGGTGACTCAATGTGAAGCTTCTCACGGCTTTGTGTTGTTCGATCTCAAGTCGGTAATCCTCTGCTGCTGTCGTTCTGCTTGTAAATTATACAAAGAGGTTAGTCATTCACTTTAATAGTACACTGTCAACTGTCCTCGACAACATAATACTTGGAAACAACACTGTTGCCGGCGGCGATGGTCACATGGGAGACCCTAAAGTTTTAGGCCACGATCGAAAATAAAAACTAGACCAGTGTGACTGCCTCTTTTTCAAGAGAAACAAACCAACTTCTCTCCAACCCACCAACTCCTCGCATCCCCATCCCAAGCCCATACCTCTGCGAGTTGCTACCTGAGAAGTGGACAATCCTCTGCGAACTTGTCCCTTCATTCTCTCTTTTCTTCCCTAAATTCTCGCATACCTTCACAGCTCACTAATCTACATATTTTGACCACACTTCATCATGTCAGGCAACCCCCAAGGCGAGGAGCCGCCCCGAGATCCTCCTGGCGAGCCTTCTGGACCGTCTGGACCTTCTGGACGTCCTCGACGTCAGGATCCTCCTGCGTTTCGCGGCATCCCTGCCCTGATCCCCGGAGTAGATTATCCTGTCTTCTACCCCAGAGCTGGCACTGGTCACTATGATGCCGCCTTTTACTCGGGTAAGTCCTCCTTTCTTTAGTCATCCATGCTAGCTACTTATAACATCCTCCACACGTCCTCTGATGAATTACCATCGTAATTATTCTGGGAATATAATCTAACACAACTATGCTATGTAGCACCCCCGCAGCCATCCCAGCAGCCATCCCAACAGCAATCCCAGCTGCCCGCAAACGCAGAGGAGACACCCATCCAAACTCTTCAGCATTTCCCCCACTACTACGGATGCTACTGTATTGACTGTGTCCGTTTCTATCACCCGAGCAACTACTTAGCTCGCGGCACCCATGGCCCGACTGGTCCTCGTGAAGCCCATCACCCTGGCCCTGCCAGCGTACAACCCCAGGCCCCCGTGAGCGCCCAGGCCCCTGCGAGCAACGTGTATGCCCTCGATAGAGCCGGCCTTGAAGCTCTCAACCGACAAGCTCATGACTACGTCTTCCAGACAGCCGCGAGCCACGGTCGCAACGTACGCGTTCCTCAGATGCAGTACCAACAGCCCCAGATCCAATCGGGACCCGCTTCTGCTCAGGTTGCAGTCCAAGGCCAGCACCAGGGCCAGCAACCAGGCCCTTCTCAAAGTACTCTTAAAGCTAACCATCCCCATTTCAATGAAAAGGTAAGAAATAATCCCCTCCAGATAACACTTACTGTTTAATTACATGTGACTAATGAAAATCTGATATTCAGGAACTCAAGGAGCTGAAGGAGTACAGGGAGCGTAAGGAACGAGAGCAGCGCGAGGAACGTGTTCGACGTTTCCGTGAGCAGAATGAGCGAGCGATCGGTTTCCACGAGTCCGACGATGAAGAATTCATCCCCAACATCCGAAACCCTTGAAGAATTACGAAGGAGTTTGGACCGTATGGCAACGGCAAATCATGGGGGCTTACTTTACATTAGTTGATGATCGGGCATAGCATTCTGGAGTTGGGTTTGCTTATTGATAGCTACATATTTCACTTGCACAAGGATCGATTCGGAAAGTCTTGTTCTTCAAGCATAGGTAGTTTCATCTGAAACCTTTCGGTACTTGACTTAATACAATGCTATTATTATTAGGAGATCAAAGCCTCTCATTTCCCCTGAGTTAGCCCCTTTTTAGCGGCTCCTGATAAGCAATGATGGTTTCCGAAGTTTCTTGAGCACTTACCCCTTGGAAGCCTATAAACAATAGCTCGGTCCCTGATAATTGTTGGGACATTTTTCAACCATAATATGTCATTGCTTATCGCAGAAAACGTTTTGCCCCTTTGTTTTCCCCGTAGTTTCTCGAGTATCCTTAACACATATGTATTCGTCCTTTTATACTTATTTCTACTCCCCCTTTAACGCCCCCAATCCAACGAATTTCTTACGCCATTAAATAAAATGCACCCACGGCATGCTCTTCGTCATCTGGCTATAGGACTGCGATTTTCTAAAGCTGCAGCAGTACTATGCTCCTCGAATCTCCTAGTTGACGACTTCTCGCGGTTTTCTAATAGGAGGAATAACCTCGGACTAAAAGCAAGCGGTAAGAAATCCATAATCGCCAAACGACATAACTACGAAGCCTATAGGCACTTTAGCTAACCCTTAATAGATGACGGTTCTATGACATCGATATCCGTTCTTGGTGATTCCATCTCATTTACACCCCGGCCAATGTCCTACTTCTACGAGACCGTGCCCTGTGTCGACGCAGAGGCATCCGGGTACGAGGCGCTCGCATTTACTATAAAAGCCCCCCAGGACGCATCCATCACGCTCGAGATGCAGACGATGGAGAACTGTTCAGTAGAAGCGTATAATAGTACATGGAGATATGTTATGAATTTTACTGGTGAGCCCCAGAGGATCGTGGCTCCTGTAAGCTCATTCCGAGGGGCTAGGACGAGTGGCATTGCCGCTTTTAATTGGGCAACCTGGGAGTCGCAGAGTACGGGCTTCGTATGGGAACTCGGCGACGTAGAGCTGGTTTGCGGTGCGACATCTTAGAAGCTTATCGAGTCTATATATCTTGACGCAAGTGGCGGGTTGGGAGCCAGTCCTATGGGTTCTTTGACACATCGATGATTTAATATATTTATTCTTGCGCAACGCTGACGACTATCTTATCGATTTTGCTTCCACATTTCCAATTTCATGCCTTAACTATATCATGTCGCACCCAAATATAAAACATAATGACTCCTTATCTCCTTGTTGAGGACAGCCTCGATGTTTAACAAATTCCACCGGCATTATGTAATTGGATTCGGGCCTTTCTTTTGGGAGCTATCAAAATTTAATGGGAAGAAAAGCCGCGTAGAAGGCCAAATTTACTAAATGATAGTTAGAGGCACTTATAACCTATAGTATTGTGTTAGCGATGGAATAATGCCATCCGTGTTCGTCGAAGTGAGGCGAATACGCTATCCCTGGTCAGAATAGGGGGGGGAGGGCTATGGAAAGGGATATGAGAGACCAGCTTATAGCGAACCCTGGTGAACTGGTTTTGGTATCCAAAAGAGATGAAAATCCATGGTTCCTACTTGGATTATACTAGGTGACGTTAATATATTAATTTTATAGTCATGCAAACATTTTACTATCGTTTGTAAAATAAGGGGGAGGGGTGGTCGTGTTTTTGTGCTGCTTACACTCCGGCCTCTAAGTCTAACAATCTATTATGGCCTACCTCAAGTACACAATAGGCATTTAATTGATACTTAAGAGATACCGGTACAAGTAAGCTCCAATATTCTATAACATATCTATTTATTTATCTCTCAGGCTAACTAAATGTAGGGTTTATCGATACCTATAATACCAATGAGCATAGCCCCTGAGTGCGCCTCTTCACTCCTTAGGCTTTTGACCACAAGCCACATAAAGCTCATACCTCACATACCCACCCGACTCAGCATCCTCCCTTGCCCTCTTCGCCATCTCGTCCAACTGATCATTCGTCATCGCGCCAGGCGCTCCCCGCTCAGCCATCAGCCGGGCCGACGAAAAGAACACCTCCGTAACGCTCGTCGTCAGCGTCTTTCTCGTCTCCGCAACCCTGTCGGAGGCAGCCACGTCAGTCAAGACGGGGTTTAGGCCCGCATCCCGCATCTCGCGAGGAAGCGTGCACCACCCGTGCTCGAACCGCTCTCCCAGCGTGTTTCTAAAGTGCTTGCCCATAAAGCGTACTGCGTCGACTGTGGAGCCTACAAGGCCGCGTAAGTACTTGGCTCCGGCGAAATCGCACTCTTCCCACTGTAGGAACCCGCCGGGCTTTAGGAGCTCGGAGAGGTTTCGTACGACGATGGCCCAGTCGGTCGGTAGCATTGCTGCTACCAGCGACCGGACATGGACCACGTCGTATTTGCCGTGAAGTTCCTTTGGAGCAGGCTGTTTCATATCCAGTATACCAAGAGATACGTTTGGCGGGAGCGTGTTCTCTTGAGGGAAGAGCCTGGGGGATATGTCGTAACCATCGAGGATGGCATCGGGATATTGTTCTCGGAGAAGTAGTAGGAACCTGGCCGTTCCGGTCCCCATATCTGCGATTCGTGGCTTTGGAGGCAGGCTGGCGACAATAGCGGGATGGAGTAGATATCCAATATTGCTATGTGGGTGAGCAGTAGTTACTTGGGATCATGTGGTAGCTCGTACGTGTTTAGAAAGTCTATTTGTGTATTAAGTCTGTGTCTGATAAGTAGAAGCCACTCTAGGTAAATCTGTATTTGGCGCGTACCTTTGGACCTCGTTATCATCGCGGGTCATATAATCGGTATAAACGTCAGGCATCTTGATTAATTACTAGGTTCTACCGCCGGGATCTGCTTTTTAACGAGTAGTAGAAGATACTGGCGTAAGAGAAGTTGATTTTATATTTTTGTTTAATCGTGTTGAGTGCCAACTCTTTCGGTGTTAAATATGGGTTGTCGGTCATAGCGTTTCTATTAAATATAGATGCCCGGAGCCCAAGCTTTTCCAAGATGCATCCACAAGTATAAACATATACACCATACGATACGTGGCCATCACAAGTACCATTAGTCCCTTAATCGAACACCACTAGCACGAGATTTCCGGACATCTCGCCCAGGGAAGAAGCATCTCGTAAAAGTGTCCACTAATAACACCTGTTATGAAAAGGGGCTCATGAGTATACACTATGCGCATATGAGCAATTAGATACTGACCAACTGGAATAAACATCGTAATCAGTGCCGTATACTATGCACGTTCTAGGGTATTTGATGAAGAAAGAGACTAACCTAGTATTAGCTTAGGTGTTATTCGAAGGATTGTTTTTCGCCAAGTAAATTAGGCCATTATCTTTTACAAGGTCCCGCAAGAGTTAGATCAATGCTATGCTAAACCAGAATAGAAGCGCCAAGCCGAGTCGATAGCAACATACAACGTAGAAATTATCTTTAATGGGGGTCATTATATTTCGTAATTGTAAGAACTCTAAATCAACAGTCTTCAACTATAGTGTAAGTTTGAAGTTATACCCAAATAAAACTATCCCCACAAAACGCCAGCTTTGACTATATTTACAAGCTATAGGCTGCCCCGTGGGGTAACACAATAGTCCCAGTTTTATCCACTTCTTACACAAAGAGCGTATACTTTATGTAATTACCTTGGAAAATTTCAGTCAGACTCAGGACTGTCCCACGAAAATATAAACACCGGTTTCACAGTCCATCTATCGGCCGTGAACACCAACCGCCCCTCCTCAACAAGCTTGATCGGATCGACGTAGATGTCAACGGTAATACGGCCGCTGTATAGTTCGGAAACTCGGAAGATAACATATATCGAATCTTCCGTAGAAAGGCTCTCCATCTAGAAAAATTAAGCACATGGTTTAACTTGTGTAATAGTTAGTTGGACTGGAGGAGGAGATTTACCTTGTGATATTGAGCATCCGACATATAAAAGGGTGTATCTCGACCCCCTGGAGTAGTCTTTACCTCAATATAATATTTGGGCCGTGAGCCTCGCCATATACTCGGGAGAAGGCCCTTGCTTATGAGAACTTCTGTTAGTTTATTATTATCGTCTTTATACTCGAGGTCAGACGTTTCGATTCCGGACCAGCTACCCATATCCGCGTAATCCGGGTGCACCGTGACGTATTTCCGAATAGTACTTGTCCAATTAGCCCTACTAAACCCTCTAAGAGCTGGGCTCATTGAGGAGAGAAGCTCGTATACCTAGGACATCGTTAATACCATTTATTCTTAGTTTTACAAGGGGTTATGGGAACACTTACGAAGAGCTCCCCCGCGGCTCCTACTTTCTTGTCACGCTCGAACCGGGACATGCCCAATTGGGGATCAAATAGATCAAGTTCGTTGAAGAGCGTATTGTTGATGATATTATTGCCAGTCATAACATCTAAGAGCACCGAAAGATCCATTGCTTCTGAGAGGAGTCGACTTTTCCTGGCCATACGTATCACTTGTGATAGGAGAGCACAATACCCTTGAGTTGCCTTTCTCTGTCTTTCTGCGATAGTCGTCATGAATGGATCTGGTGAAGGACCCGTTCGTGCGGATGAAGAGTGGTCTCTACCTGAACTTGTCCCAGGTGTAGAATAGTATGTGTAATCTGTTGCTGGTGTCTCGGGATCCTCGTACGGGGATCCACTGTCGAAAAGGGGCGTCGCAGGCTCGGAGGGAGGCGGGCGTAGTATTCGAGGGGTAGAAGGTTCGACAAGCGTGGGTGTAGAAGAAAGAGTCGGTGTAGGTTGGTTAGTGATGATATATTCTTGATCGTCCTGCTTTGGTATGGTAACTTCAATAATGCCATTTTCGGTAAGAAAATAATCAACTCGTTTAGGCTTCGTCGTCAAGATGCCGTGAATTAATAGCGCCGCACTAGGGTCGACATCTCCCTTGGAGTTTGTCCCGGGATCGGTCATCATCCACTTCGTTAAGCGATCGGGAAGAGTAGAGAGGTAAGATTCTTCTCGCAAGTCCTCGTCACGCGGGACGTATATTTCTAGGCCATCTTTATCGTCGATATGAATCATGCCACGGTCGACTTCTTGGGTCACAGTTTGTCCGCCTATGGTAAGTACCAGTTTGGTTACTATTTCCGGTGTCTCCCATGTGTGTGAATTGCGGAGCAGATCATATAGCGCTTGACCATCACCTTCAATCCGTGGGCTCTTGAAATGAGTGGCGATGCTATGAAAACGAATTATTAGCAGAAACCCCTATAATCTCATAGAGATAAGTCGGCTTACCGAAGTAGCCCATATGCCTTCTTCTTGATATCTTGGACTGGGTCTGATATTGGGATTTTTAAGCCTGAATCCAAAACAGACGTCTCCTGGACCAGTCGTGATAGATACCTATCCTCGAGGCCCGCCCACTTTATCAGAGGCTTGAGTTTAACAATTTCGTTGACGGTGAAATCGAAAATTTTGACTTTGTCGTAGAAAATGTCACCAAGTCTCTTGCGATCGATGATGCCAAAGCCCGTCTCCGCCGAACGCAAGGTTGTGTTGCCACCAACCTCCCTAACCGGTAGGACCCGGCGTTCTAGGAACTTCTCGGGAGAAGTATTGAAGTGTTCGAGCTCGATATATGAGTTAAAATTCCAAAGGAGTTCTTTAACGTGCTCTGCTGTGGCCTTTTCCGGATCTAGTTCCAACAATTCGTTGTAGATAATTTCAGCGTCTAACACACGTACAGCTAGCTTTTTGACGAAAAAGCTCTCCATATCTCCGTCATAAATATTTCCCAAGTTTACCCTACCTCGAACTGGTGATGAGGCACACCATAGACACTGCGATGGCATATGCCACTTCTGAGGACCGACATCTGCAAAAACCAAAGCATCGGTTTTGAATGCGTTTCTATGAACAATATGATTAGAATACGTAAAATGTTTTTCAAGGGTATTTTAAATATCCAAAATTACCTCATTTCTTCCAACGCAGTACTAGATAGTTTCATAGCACCTAACTCCGAGTATAACTCTCGAGTTATATCCACGAGCCCTGGAGGATTTGATTCTTTGACATGTTTTAGCTCTCCCACAATATGATTCCATGAGCACTTTGGAATTTTCAGGGTTTCCCGAAGGAATGGTTCGAAGTTAGAGAATCCCGGGACGGAATCCCTAAATTGGGCATGATATATGGGGAAGACTGGAAAGACGGTTTCCATACTCGTCGGCCCATCGAGTAGACATTCCCGAAGTGTAGCCCAGGTAAACTTGCGCTGCTCCCGAGCAGGTATAAAAAAGAATCGAGACGGCTGGAGAAAGGTACTAGTTTACTGGTTAGTCTACCTGATATCAACCAGGCTCTAGCCTAGGAAACAATGCATAGGTACATACCGTATCTGAGACTGTTTCTCTGCTTGTATTTCTTTGCTTTGTGAGTCCAAGCATTCTGCATGAAGGCGCAAATATAGGCGCAAAACGCGTGAAGGGTCGGCAAACTCGCTCTTGAAATAGTGGGACATACTTAAATAATGGAGAATGTCAAGATAGAACTTTATATCGTAGCTAAAGTTCACCCCAAAAGCGCGCAAGAAGTCCCATTGAGACACCGGGTCTGAGTCATCGTCGATATGAATGAAAGGAAAGTACTCTCCCTCTCGCATGAACTCTTTACGCTTTTCTAATAATACCGGTAAAGGGAAATATGATTCCGAAAGGGGTGTTAGAAGACCAGCTTGGGATGGTACCTTCAGGCATCCCAGTTCCTCTGCCAGTTCAGGTGTCACATGGGACTTTTCCAAATCCCAACTTTGTTTCAAGAGATTCAGAAGCTCTGAGGGAAGGTTGTCAGCGACGAACATACATTCTTCTGAAATGTTGTTTGAAAGGTCCTTGGAAAAATCGAATAGTCTCGAGTAATTGCGAACATTGAGGCATGTTTCAAGCCATTCTCTCCAGGTCAGGTCATGTTGAGTTGATTTTCCTGGGTCGTCTTCAAAATACTTTCTGTCTATGAAATGAACATTACTCCACCCTGGAGACTTGTCGGCCTTGGAGATTAGTTCCCAGAATCCCTTGTCCGAGTAAGACACGTGTGATTTCAATGGATACCAAGATCCGCGATCATCCCATAGCCACAAATCGTTATAATTCTCGAATTCACCATACTTGGAAGCTGGGTTGTGTGTTAGATAGAGGTATTTGAGATGAGAGAGTGAGGTTTCGTAGTTTATCCCTATAGCCTTCTTTTTCCAATATCTTCGAAAGATGTCGACACGGACATCGTGTACTGAAGCGTATTTTGCATCGAGATGAAGAAATAGCTGTCTCCTTTCAGATAATGTTACTGCGACGGGGTCTATGAGGTGAAACTCGAGATCAGCTGGAATTGCGAGTCCGCTTTTCGTAGTTGGAAAATGCACATCAACATTCCTCGAACTAACCCATTTTCCGTCGACTAAGGGGATCAGTTGTAACGATTTAGTTGTGTTCATCGAGTTACTCCATTGGTTTTCAAATGATAGACTTATATATCGGGCTGCACGAGCGTGCCAATCAGAATCGGTCCTCGTGGACCGCATCCTGGATGTATCGCTAGATAGATCTCTCGATAATCTATCAATCACCTCATAATGCCTTATACTCTTGAGTCCATAATCTTGGAGAATACTAAGGTCGCTTGCCTTGTAACTGGATGAGATATAACTAGCTCTATCGCCGGGGAGGTCGTTAAACAGGGGATTTCCGTGTTGATCAAGTGTGTCCAATGTGAGTCGTCTTGCATGTGACATCTGCCTTTGGATCGGCGAATCCCGTAAAATCAAGATCTCTTCATCGGAAATATGGGATTTGATTTTATTAACGAGCTTTAACCAGAATGGGTCCCATGGATAGTTTGACAACTTTGGAAGGTAACGCATCCACTGATACCTCAAGGTCGGGTGGAAACAAAGCGATCTCATTGCAACCACGAAGGCCTCTGCTAGTGAACTTAATAGCTTAATATTTCGAGATGAGGTGGTCACAATATCTTCTCGGTTCGCTTGGGTTACGAAATCGCTGTGGATTAGGAACTAGCAAGCTTATTAGTATTGGACTTATTTGATACATGTCGTGTTATTAGGGTAAGGTATTTCTCACATTAAATCCCACTCGGCGGACTGGAAGAAATGCAAAGACTTCCTGTTGTTCGATAAATGGTTCGTCATCTTGTGAAAGAGGAAATGCGAGGACGACCGGAGCAGTGCTGTATGCTCTCGATGCTTCTTCCTGGGGAGAATACGTTCTGTTCTCATTATGAGGAAGATTTCGTGCAATATACTCCACGATGTGGTATCTTTGTGTCGTATGGGTCGTATGGGTCGTATTTCCGTCTTGGGTATAAAATTTCTCGAGTATGCGATTGCTGACTTGGTTGGTATGATTTATTTTAAGCAAAGAGGATGATGTTTCGGTCCCAGCATCGTCGTATATGCGCACCTTGATTTGCTTGAGCTTCTTCAGGAATAGGAGCATTGTAGGTTGAAGCTCGTTCAACTGATTGAGGATATTTTGTCGTCGCGCATCTTCGGTACCTGGGACATCGTTGGGATGCAAAAACAATGTGATTCTAGTCAAGGGCCTCGGTATCTTTTCTGTCGAGTCGTACCATTCAGGAGATATCATCCCCATACCAGAGTCGCCTCTTCGGTGGGTAAATGTGAACGAATAGTCTCCAGACTGGATTTGAACTTTCCATGCTGCCTTGAAGACCGACTTGAAACCAATACCTTTCTCGCCAATGTATCCTTGAGCCCCTGTCTTTGAACTCGCTCCAATCTTACATATCGCTCTAAGATTTGCTTCTGTAAAGCCATCTTCGTTGCATTCCACGACAACTCGATCCTTATACACATCAAAAGACACGTATGGAACGACGCCCGAAGATTGTGCCCGGGTGAAGGAGTTATCCTCGGCATTTTGCAAGAGCTCGAAAATCCATCTAACGTCCTTAGTATAGAGATTCTTTGCAAGTCTAATGTAGCATTGTTAGTATCTCTTCCTATTCTAGCAGTAAGGAGTCCGTACGTTATGACACTTGTTCCTACCAGTGTATGCGCCATGAGGAGTGCTTCTTGAACTTGACGGCGAGTGTCTGCGGTCATAGTTGCATAAACTTCCTCACCAAGGTAGCCATGCTGTTTGGAAATGCTTTGCACGAGCCGGCGTGCTGCTTCTTTCCTAGAGGTACTGGAACTTGCCATGTTGAAGGAGGAGGCTGGAGACGTATCTCATATGATCAAATTATATCTATATTATCTCTAGCAGAGTAGATATTCTACTGTATAACTAATAAACAGAAAGTAATTCAACAGAAGTTGTAGTAGGTAGAATTGAGAGAGTATGGTATAATATAGTTAAATGCTTAATTTTAAATATGCAAGGGATGCCAGCTGAAGGATACAACGCATCTTTATACAGGCTATCAGTCGGATGCATTGCCAGACAACTTGTCTTCGGCCCGGGAAGCTTACGCTCCATTCTCGGGATCGTGTCTGTAGTTTCATCGGTACTTGAAGCGCGCGCTTACATGAAAACCTCCGGGTCTATCACGACAAGACCTAATTAGGCTTTATCATGTTATGGATGCAACATAAATGTGACAATTGTAGTAATTTTAGCATGAGGCGTTTTAGAGGTGTCTTATTGGTATTAGTGCTGGCTTTCGCCTTCTTGTACCTAAGAGGGTGCTGGGCTGTAATTAAAGAATCAGGTATAACTAAAAATAGCGAATCAGATTTTGAAGGCATATAAAAGGTTACTCTGATCCTTATAAAAGCCTTAAAAAGGCATATCCTTCATGAAAAGTTATAAATATTCAAAAGATTATTCAAAAAAAGAAGCGCTCCTATTTGGAAATATCTCAGATTAATCCTGAATTACTAGCTGTTTATTTAATTTTAGCGCAGTATATTCCAAGTGCAAGAAGGTACAGATAGCACTAATAGCAGAGATATTCCCGAGGCTATGGTCGCATTGCGTTGACCCGGTTGGATTAGCAAGGGAGAAGAACAACATATCTAGATACGAGAAGATCTACTACTTCATAGTATATTCTGTATCACATCGTTGCCTAGGTTATTGGCTATCACACACTAACTATTGTTTGGGGGCTGGGCAGATGTATACATATTAAGGTCACATTCGATTTATGCAGTTAGGTCTCAAGTCCGATGAAGACTTTGAACGTGTTTTAATTACAACCAACAACATGCTAGACACAGCCTCAAATTAGAATGAATTCGGGTTATAGTCCGGGTCTTCAAGGCTAATTTAGTAATTTCCTTCGTTATTAATGTGCCAAGGTAGTTTTCGTGATACCAACAAAATAATACGAAGGCCAATTTAGGCAATGGGATTTTACACGTGCGTTTAAAGAGACGGCCTGAATGATGCCTAATAAGGTATTGTTAAGGTATTGTGAGCTCTATTTCTGTCGGCTAGCTATGGTATACTTCCTCATGAGTTATCATGAGATAGAGATTATTAAATTTATATATGAAAGTTGTAAAGCATTAATACGTATGGTCTTTAAAGATTAACTAGATAATTGTTGCTGGGATATGGAAATAGTATATTGTTGTAATATTGCTTTAACCGAGTCTACCTTTTATCAGAAATAAGATATAATAGATTATTATAATATTATTTCATTGCGCAGATAAAATAGCTGTATATCTGCAACTTATTGGCAAGAATAATGATGTGTTGAACAACGTAAGAGTCAAATATATAACCTGTCTCAGTTGTACATATATCTTTTTAATAGTGAATACCTCAGCAACTAATACCTGCAGCATCATCAGGTTATCGATAAAGATTCCCCAGTTTGCTCTAATCAGTGCACTTAAGCCTCTTAACTCCAAGAATACTGCCATCTTCACACACCGCCCAGCCCCAATCAGCCCCAACCCAACCCCCACTTTCCTTCTTAGGCGTCTTGTCTTCTTGCTTGTCCCGCCTCTCCCACGTACGTAGTAGTTCGTAATTCGCACCGCAGCTTATCAGGTATCAGGCCGAAATTTCGAGAACAGAAAGAAGCAAGTCGCATCTAATCAACAACATTCCAGCCCGCCAACTTTAACTCACTCACCTATATACTACTACTACCAAACTCTTCACTTGCGGTATTAGGGAATTAATTTTCTTTCTTTCTTTTAATTTCTTTCGCTTGGCCAAAACTACAAACCAATAAAACCTTCTCATTTGATTGAGACTCAACCAACTTGGCTGACCCCTCAGTTGAATTCTTTAACAAACCAAACCAAACCAACCATGGTACGAATTGATATGTTATAATCTAATATCATACTCCCCGTTTTTCTCATTCTATCTATCCTATCCTACCCTACCATATCCTCCTTTTCCCTAACATAGCCATTAGCAAGCCGTACGCAAACATGTGTAATGTATATATCACAATACTGACCTTCCCACCAGGCGACAACAACAAAACAACGCCTGGCCCTCGCCATCTGCGACTTCCTCTCCACCTCCCTAACCGACGGCACCCTCTCATCCGAGGACAAAGACAGCATCGACGTCGCCATCAACTGCATCGGCGAATCCTTCAAAGTCGACCCCACCGACCCCGCCGCCCTCTCCGCCGCCACCGGCACCCAGAACCTTCTACAGATCTATGGCGTCTACGAGAAGCTCAAGTCCACTACTGCCGCCGCCAAACCCACCTCTAATACCGCCGACACCTCCGACAAGGTAAAGGAACCCACCGATGATGAGAAGGCTCGCGCCGAGGACCTCAAGGCCCGCGGCAACCGCGCCATGGCGTCCAAGGACTACCCCGCCGCCATCGACCTGTACACCCAGGCCCTAGCCCTGAACCCCCGCAACGCCATCTACCTATCCAACCGAGCCGCCGCCTACAGCGCCGCGCGCGACCACGCCAGCGCCCGCGCCGACGCTGAGACCGCCGTCAGCATCGACCCCAAGTACACGAAAGCCTGGTCGCGACTGGGCCTAGCCCGCTTCGCTCTCGGCGACGCAAAGGGTTCCATGGATGCGTACCGACAAGGAATCGAGCATGAAGGCAACGGCGGCAGCGAGGCCATGAAGAAAGGCTTCGAGACCGCAAAGCGACGTGTCGACGAGCTGGAAGTCGAAACCGCAGACGCAGGACCGACCGCACGTGGCGGTGGCGGTGGCCCTGACCTAGGCAGTCTAGCGAGCCTCTTCGGCGGCGGCGGCGGCGGCGGTGGAAACCGCGACGGAGCTGGCGGTGGAGGTGGTCTCCCTGATCTCAGCAGCATCATGAGCAACCCCATGTTCGCGAGCATGGCCCAGAACCTGATGTCGAACCCGGACATGATGCAGAACCTAATGAGCAACCCGCGCCTCCGCGAGATGGCCGACCGTTTCTCCAGCGGCGGCGGCATGCCTGACCTAGGCTCTCTGATGAGCGACCCTAATATCGCTGACATGGCGAGGAATATGATGGGCGGCGGCGGTGGTGGCGCCGATGATGGGAGCAACCCCGGAGCCGGACGCGGCGCAGGCCGATGATTGACTTTGCTCGGAGATAGATCCTGTCAAATTCATCTTCAACGGAGTTGTATAGGGTTCTCCGTGCGAAGAGCGTAGCGTGGCGCTGTAAGGGAGAGAAAAAAAAATCGGAACAAAGTTGGTTGGGCGGAAAGATATGAGATTATAACCAGTCACGGTTCTTACATTTGCCTATTTTCCCCTTTTGGTCTTTTGGTCAATGAACGGACAAGAGTCATGAATAGCCGGGTTTGAGCTACGTAGACCACGAGTAGACTTTGCTTATAACAGATGAGCACTCACGATAATAATAGAAGGCGAAAAAAGGACAATATCAGGGTTTACTATTTATAATCCATCGCATCTGCTAACTAAGGTCTTAATGGTACATTGCGGACCGTTGTGTGCTGATAATGAGACAAGTTGATAATCTCGTATGAGAGAAGCAGTTGAAAAGGGGTGTAAATAAATCAGTGCTCGTCTAAGTTCTTCCACCGTACACCTCGACTCCGTACCATGCTATAGTGTCCCTTCGTTTTCTCCTCTAAACAACAATGTGCCCAGTCCCGAAACATAGCTTTTCTGTTTTTTGTTTAGTCCTCGAATGCTACCGACCGAGAAAATCAATAAAAGAGAAAAAAAAATATCATGCCCGTTTTTTTGTTTCTCACCCCCTTTTCGCCCTCCGTCATCCGTATTCCTGCGATAAACCGATAGGTATTTTATAAATCAGAACCGAATAACACGCAATATAAAGCATCCGTAATTAACATTCTGCATTCTTGTCTCCGACGCGAAAAGAGCTTTCCGTAAAATGCATAAGAATACATACAATAGGAATCGAAAAAGAAATGCGCACGAGAAAATGAGATACATATTCGTAGGCAAAGGGAGACTAAAATAGAGATAATGCGTCATTGAAAAGTACTGTTTGAAATGCCGATTTACTTTGCGCGAGATATAGAGGTCCCGCGCTTTTGCGAGGGTCCTGCACCGTCTTTGTGGCCGGACTTGGGGCTAGCTGGACCACGTCTTCGACCCCTTCCAGCACGGTAGCGACCGCGCGTTCGGCCACGGTAACCGCCTCTACCCCTACTAGGTAGGGGTTGTTTGGCTTCTGGAGATGGTGAGTGTTCGTGTTGTTCCCGTGGGAGCTTGCTTTCCCTTCGAGAAGGTTTTGTAGGTGTAGGCATAGGTTGGCTAACAGAACGAGTCGGGCTGTCTGAAAAACAAAGTGGTGGTGGCTCGGGGCAAGACACAGATTGAAGGGTGTTCCGGCGAGGCTTGGAATCGGGGGCGTCGAACACTGTTGATTGCGCGGCAGACTCGGGAGGTATGACAGGTGAAACGGCATCATCATTTTTACTCGGGGGAATCGCATCGTAAGCTCTTATCGCAGTAGACACAGAAGCGGACTCGGAATTAGCCGGCGGTGTACTATTAGAGGAACTCGCTTCCTCTTCGACGTCTTCGGCCCAGCTATTTCGCATAGGAGATGTATTATTTAATTTTGGCTCGGCTGTAGAACGGGGTGTAAACTCCGGCGCACCAGGATTCAGCCTTGAACCCTGTTAGAGGTTAGTATCAATCAAAAAATCATGAATGATTTTTCGACGGATCTACCTCTTTTTGATGCCCATTTGGAGTATTCACAACCTTCCCGTTCGCCTTTCCTGCGATAGGGGAGTTCTCGGCCGTCGATACCGGCCGCGGTGCTTGGGTACCATTTGAGGCGCTGACACCATTTGCTGGCTCGTCGACGGACCCATCCGTCTGGGTAATACTCGAAGTTGCCGTACTATCGCCAGAGAGATCTTCACTTTGCTTATCCTCCTTTGATTCCTTGGGCTTCAAGAAAATTTGTTTAGACCAAAGCTCAGCGTATTTGCCTCCCTTGGAAATCAACTCTTCATGGTTCCCTTGTTCAGCTATCTCCCCATTCGCAACGACGAAGATAGTATCGGCATTCATAACGGTTGAAAGACGATGCCTAGACTAAAGTCAGTATAACGTCATAGTATCCAGCGGCTAGTTATTAACATACGCTACAATGAATGTGGTGCGACCTTGACATAGGGTACGAAGACCGTCCTGGATTTTCTGCTCCGTGTCTGTATCGACAGAGCTAGTCGCTTCGTCGAGGAGCACGATCTCGGGCTGTTTAAGGATAGCCCGTGCGATCGCAATTCGCTGTAGTTCACCACCGGATAGTTTCCTAAGTTTGTTAACTAACAAAACTAACGTCTGCTGATTAGATTACTACTTACACACCACGCTCGCCGACACGAGTCTTATACCCCTCCGTAAAACCCATTATATGATCATGAATTGCCGCTGCTTTACAAGCGCTATAGACATCTTCGTCCGTAGCTGATAGCCGGGCATATCGAATATTATTGACCACAGTGTCGTCGAAAAGAATTGGTGATTGCGGGACAATACCAATAGACTGTCGTAGACTACGTAGGAAGAAATGTTAATAGAGGCAAAATCGAGGGATGGGAAGGCACAAAACACAATCCGCCCTAGAAGAGACCCATTTGGGATTTGAAAAAGGTAGACATGGACCATACCTTGAGATCGTCACATCGCGAATATCCTGGCCATCGATTTGGATAGAGCCACCTGTCACGTCATAAAAGCGATCAAGGAGCTTCAGGATCGTTGACTTCCCAGCCCCCGTTGCGCCGACGAATGCCACCGTAGTACCAGATGGAACAGACACTTTCACGCTCTTCAAGATGTCCTTCTTCTTGTCGTAGCTGAAACTGACGTTCCGGAACTCAACTTTACCGCCCTTGAGCTTCAGGGGTTTAGCATCGGGCTTCTCGATGACGGTCGGTTTGGTCGTCATTACGTCAAGAAGCCTTTCGGCATGCACCAGATCCTGGCTGATGTTCTTTCCGAGCTGAGAGAAAAATCGTAGAGGTGACGTGAGCTGACCCCAATACGTCAATAGCATTACAAAGTCGCCAGCAGTGGCCTGGCCATTAGTAATTTGGTATACAGCCAAGAACGCTCCAGCGAGTAATCCTGCGAGAAGGATTAAATACTGAAAGGCATGTCCAACAAAGTAGCTGTAATACAGAGATTTCGTAGACGAGACGCGAGAGTTAACTGCCACGCCATATCGTCTCTCTTCGTATGGGATCTGGTTGAAGGCACTGACGGTCTGCCAGCCTTGAATACCAGCCTGGCGGATATAATGTTCCTCAAAATACCTAGAAAAAAATAACAATTAGAACCCAGTCCATCAAGATCAACTTTTCTAAAGAAATCCAATAGAGATCGGGGGTGGAGGTCTTGGCCGAGCTACTGAAACGCATAAATTGGGCCACTTACGTCCTGACCATCATCTTTCTTTTCTCCTTAAAGCTTGAGATGATATGAGTGGCAGCTTGGATAAACGCCGTGCCAGTTGCAATAGTGATGAATCCTTCGTACGGTCCGAATTTTGTCGACAGGTATGTGAATGCAATGACCAAGTCAATTAGCATTGGCAATGCCTGGAAACATATCGAGTCCAACATATTCGAAATAGAGGTCCCATTCGAAATAGCTACGATAAGATCCGATGAACTCTTAGAATCATGGAACTCGGAAGAAAGATTCATAATGTGAGAATACGCAGCGGTTGTGAGGGCTTCCCCAGAGTAGTGCTCGATAGGTAGCCATAGCATCTGCCTCAAGAAGTTAATCCCAGCCTCTGACGCTAGAAGTCGAAGCCCAGCAAAGATAGCTACTTGAACCCAAGGATTACTATCAGAAACACCGCTCAAGGAGTCCATAACGGCGCCATACTGCCGAGGAATTAGGAAATTGAGCACATTTCCAGCCAGCAAGCACAAGCCCACGAGAGCAGCGTAAATTTGCAGGCGACGATTCTTGACAGGCCAAATGTACGGAAAGAAAATGAGAAACCCCTTGGCATACGCAATCCAGCTACCCTCATTCTTCAACCGCTTCTCAATCTTCTCTCGAGAAATACGTTGCTGACGTTCCCATGGTGATTCGACGTCTCTGGGTGAGTTAGCCGTCTCCGTATTAGTCGCATCCGTATTTGTACCCTCTGAGTTTGTCCCATAGCCGCTATCTGCCGATGTGTCGACACCATTCGCTCGTTGGCCCGGCTTTGGGAGTAGAGGGGCTCGTTCCTCGTCATCGTCATCGTCGATTCCGTCTTCTCGCCAAATGAAATAAGCCAAGAGAGCGCCTAAGGCAAGAATGCAGCGAGCGATGACGATAGAGGCGTCCAGTCGGAGAAAGGCTGCTGAGTTGTCACCAGTTGTTGGGGCAGTCACTATCGGCTCAGAGGATGCGATGAATAGGAGGGCAGCGTTGAAAGGCTCCAATACAAACGCGATAAGCCACGATCCGTAGAAGGGATACCAAACGGTATCGGACCCGTCGCCGAGACTATTCTGCTCGATTCCAAAGATCAGGATGCAAGATAGCAAGCCGATAACTGTGTCCTGGGATGGCCATCGACCCCACATAACAATCTCAATTATCTTGAGGATAAACTGAACCACAAAGGTGCATAGAAAGCAACAAAGAAGGCAATATATAACCTTGCGTCGAAGGTGGGTTGACTTCTTCGAGTCCGAGGTCTGCAACGTGCAGATCGCAATGGCTGAAGTGATGGCGAAGTATAGGAACACTACAAGGGGGTAAACATAATGCAGCGTAACCTGCACACCCTGCAGCTCCAGTCCCATCATTCTCTCGGCCACTACCTGATCAAACGGTTCGAGCCCAAAGGGTGTAAATGTCCGAAAATAGCTGAATGGGCTGAGGAGAGTTCAGTGCAGATCAACAGCGAAGAGGCGGTGAAAGGATGGGCAGGTCCTAGATACTATATGGTCAGTTCCAAGTCTTCTTTCAAGTTATTTAAATAGGTTATGGAAGAAGAGATGAGCAGTAGAAGCATTAGTAGCAAATTCAACAGAATTGAAAAGGTTGCATTGATTGCTACTATCCGAGTAATAGGGACTGTGTAGTTGTAACTGAGGCGGTTTTGAATTTGAAGGCGAGTGTGGGTAGTAAAAAGGTTAGAGACAGAACTTGGGAAGTTACATGACGAGGCGTCAGATGATGATGATGATGAATCTACTACGAAACAACAACATCCAAGTAATATCTAGCCAAGTAGAAGGACCAAGCCATTTCTAAGTAGTTTAGTGCTGGCTCCAGTATCGCTCTTCCTCCATGAAATCATGAAAGTAGCTAGCTCTTTCCTTACTGCTTCCTTCATCATATACTCGTGTAAGTAAGTGATGTAAGTGATGTGTCGACAGAAGGTAGGAGGTGACATGACTACCTAGCTAAGGTAACTAATCGCCAGGTCCCAAGCTTTAAAAAAGAGCTTTCCGCCATTACACCACAATACTAAAAGCAAACGCATGGTACTATATAGGTACATTCCAATACGAATTATGTACCTAATGTATGTGAATGACGATTACCTTATACAAGCTTTTAAAGTTAGAAACCCACAACGGGGGGGGACGGGGGGACGGGAGGAAGGGGAGGGAGAGGGGATATTTTGAATGGAGTATTATAGACGTAAAGGAATAGGATTATAACCATAGGTCATTACTCGAATCTTTTTTTGTGATGGAGTGGTCGATGCCTAATGCATGTAGCGAGGTAGGTGGATCGTGGATTAGGAGGAAGCCGCCTTTGCAGCCAAGACATCTTGTCTAGTCACAGTTCTTATGCCGGAGGGTGTTATAGGAAGAAGAATCACACAAACATTGGACATAATATAGAAACTTACTTAGCCAGGTCATAATCCCTCGAATAATCAAGTCGCTTCTAGTGACACCAGTAGTGCTCCTATGTATGCAAGTCGATGAGGCTTAAATCTCGAGTGGTAGCCTGTTGTTGGTCCGGTAGTTCATAAGAGTTCAGCATGAACCGTCTAACCAAGGAAGGACGATCTGCGGCGATATCTAAGCCTTGACCAACGTCTGGCCTGTATACCACCAACAAGAGTTATATTTGGCTTTGTAAAGCGTAGTAGCCACGTGAAAGAGTAAGTAGAATGCCGGGTTCAGCCCTACGGGTGACGCACGACGCACGCCTGAACTGCAGTTTACTGTAAACTGTAAGAACCGTGGATAAACGGTGGATGAGGTCAGACCTAAACCGGAAATAATGGGACCAAAGTTATTGAAAAGGACTGTTAGAACCGAGTCGGAGGTTGGCTGACAGGGTAAGACCAACAAAGGCCTAGGTCTACGACTCTTCGCCCGGTTATGCCTTGCGTATCGGTAGACGTCGACTTAAGCACCAGCAGAACGAAGGAAGAACGTTTAGACGAAGCGAGACACATGACTTAATGTGGAACAAAATAAAGACTAGACAAATGCTAGCATATTAAGCTTCTAAGGGGTCCAGCGCCGATACTCGTTCCCTGAGATCTGCACCATCTAATTTCCAGGTCTGCAACACTCATATCATGCGGGTTCCAAAACAAGGCGAAATAAAGTCTAGAAGCGACACTAAGCTCGTCTCGGGACACCCGGCTAAAATAACCGGTCATCGCGGCACTAGATAAGAGCATGGGGTGGAAGGGGGAAAACATGTATGTAGAATCGACCGGCATCGACCAGCATTGAGCCGCATGGGACAAGGAGTCCATGCCATCCCAAGGTTCAAAAATCTATGTTGCCAAGCCGCCATAAGTATCACAACACAACGTCCTTTTCCGTAGCCGCAGCGGTGTGCGATGCACATGTACAAGCTGAAAATGTATCTCATAAGAAAAAGACCATATAAATTGAGAGCAAACTGTTACGGAAGATGGTCTTTGATGCAAACTCAACAACTCAACAGAGATACGCAACTGGGCAGTTACGACTATGTAAGTTAGACCCAAAATATAGGCGGAATGCCCTATTCGCGAGCCAAGAGTATTGTTTGGGGCTGATTCTGATGTCTTTTTATTTCATTTCATTCGACCCAGCAATCCAACATACACGGGCAACGTGGATCGCGCTAAGGCGAGCCATTTGACGCCACTGGTTAGTCTGCCGGCTTGTCAAGTCAGTAGTTTGGATTGGCACTGGGCAGGGGAACAGGGGACGCGTGACTTAATCCCAAGGCCGAATCGTCCACTTGGAAAGATGCCAGCGTTCTTTGTGGGACAGATATCTTCTGTGGTCCTCCTACTACCGTTAAACAAAAAGAGCAGTTTGATGAGTCCACATGGCCAGTTGCAGGAACTTGTCGCGCGGTGACACGTCAACTTAATCGGAACTCTCGTCACTATGAAGAGAGAGAGGAAGAGAGAAAAAAAAATTTGCAGCTAACAAGCGCAAGAGACAGGGTAGAGCAGAGGACAGGGATTAATGTGCGAACGTTCACGGGCCGTGTTCGTATTCCTATCAAGACAACGTCCAATGCTGACAATTGAATTTTTGGTGGAAATTTTGATTGCCTACCTATGCTGGTAGGTACTGCGAAAGGACTGACCGAGACGGCCCCCAACTCCTTGACTTGTCTTCTCGGTGAGTAAGTGAGTGGATGAGTGAGTCAAAGACTACATATGTATCGGAAACTGGAAAGTCTTATTAGCACCACAGTCTTGTTCGGGAATGTAGCTCGAACGTAACACGACTGGACCGTTGTGATTTTGCCGCGCTTTTGTTCACAGCGGTTAGGTTAATGTATTTGTAAAAGGTTGGCCACAAACGTCTCGCAGGGGTTGTGTGCTCTCGCAAGGTTGTGCCGATGTTCCCAGAACACGTGTCGGGAGTAAGACAACGGAAAACAGATAGATTGGTGTTTCCAAGACGCCGGAAAAGGGTCATATATGTATTATTGATTAAGTTGCGGCATTTGGTACTAGAAACTGTTGGTGGAAAAAAAAGAAATGGGAAAAGAATAAACTTGACTGGTACTTACCTAAGGTACGTAGGTGTAAACTGTAAAATGATTTGCGACCCGACCGGACGGATCTCCAATTGCCAGTGGTGAAAGAGCCAGGGGTTCGGGAGAGATATGTGGGGGGTAGCTGCTTGCTGCCGTAGAATTTTAGGAGGTTACGTCGGTACCGATACTATGTTGTACCTAACCTAAGTACCTACTAAAAATGTAGGTGAACCTTAGTAGGTGGTACGAATACAGTAACAATAGCGGTGACCTTAAGGCTTACAAACAACACGGCAAGTACAGGTATACATATGCTGTAGCCGACAATCAAACCCTCGTACTTCCCGTATCAAACTTTTACCTACCTGCCTTATTTCCCATTTGAAAATAGATACGACGCGGAACTCAATGACATAATAGGTCATAGCTTACTTCCGATGGGGAATAAGAACCTAACCTACCAACATCATAAAGTGATTACTATATACATATACCTAAGCATCTTATCTTACACATCCATAGAAGTACGTGGGCATAGGAGTATTATACGTAACCTATAATTCTATTATTATGCGTCAGTCTAATGAATACTTAAGGTACATCTCACCATGAATCCACATTAGTCCCATCCGCGCGCGATTGTCTCATCACGAATATCAATCGATCATCGATACCCGTCCCTCCTCGGAGATGCCACTAAGAGAAAGCCCACTGGTTACCCGATCCAATCATCTCGGTAGTTTTATCTGCATATGTAGGTGTAGTAATGTCCGGTCTTAGATACGATAGAATATGATATATCATAACTGCGGGTTCCCATCACAACTCATCTCAAAAGCTTGACATTTACCGCCGTCTAGCCGAGTTTGGTCCGCTAGTTGATAGTCACATTGGCTGGTAAGATCTCAGCCTCGACGCTAACTGAAGATCATCGTCATCTTCAACTACAAAGTATAACTCTTCTGGTTTAAAGACTATAAAAAGCTGTTATACTATCTCACCTAATCTGCTGACTCAAGATTCGCGGCTCTGCTGAGCAATGCTTTATCAGTAACGTGCTGACCACTCGTCTTACTGCCTACATAAACGCCGGCATACAGATGTTGGCACGAGACTTGTCATCTTATGTAATGACAAGCTGTGGCTGAGCGCCTACGACTTCAACTTCGGTACCGGTTTCGGTCAGCAATCGACAGACCTATCAAGCAGAACAGCAGCTTTCACACCGCTATCGATTACAGTCGAGTCCATAGGTAGTATTCATACCCACTACCACCCTGTATAAGGTAACTCATCAGCAGACATCACCAGATCTGCAGAATAAGATTAACATCTTATTTAATTTAGGTGATATATTTACACATCTTACACGCATGAACCCTTACTGCATTGAAGTCACGCGCCTATTCCTTGCATTACTTACGTTTCCGTAGTTAAATTCCTGCATATTATCCTAGCCTCGCTACTGTATCTTCTATAACAAGTTACAAGGGGTAAATTAAAAAAATCATTCTATATCAGATGATCGAAATGATCGAGATGACTAACATAGTAGCTGGCAGACGGTATTATCTTCTCGCCTGAAGACTTAGAATCAGATAGACAGGAATTCGGGTATTCAAATGCCTTCTATAGGGGGTCGACATTCCTTAGCCATGCCCTAACTACGAGATCTTAGATAACTGATATCTAAAAGGGGAGTTCGCAATCCTATCAGTGGGCCGGTTATAGTTAGGGTCATAGCTTTTTTCAATTCTATCAAACTTATGTTCCCTCTCCTTACTCGTATCCTTTGCATTGGCAGTTCCTGGAGGGGGAAGCTTCATCTTGTCTATTCTATAAAGGAAAGAAAATATATGAAAGGATACAAATAATAGTACCACGCAAAACGGCCGAACATCAGTGTCAAAAGACCTCATTACCGAGTTAGTAGTAAAACAAGAGCAAGACCAACCAAGTTGCAGGAATATTTACTTTCAACATCAGTACGGGGTAACTACCTACTCTATATAAACTAGAAGTCTCCAACACCACAAGATTTATTATAGCTATCTAGATTTAATAAGCAAACTCAATAAAACCAACAAAAAATAGCTAGTTCAACTATAGAGTAGTTTATAACAATTAAAGCAATTAAACGTAATAGGAAGATATCGTCAATAGTATTATACACAGTCAACAATTAATAGTATAGCACCCTACTTTCTTTACCTAGCTAATTATCGAGACTTATTTCTCTAGCGTAGAAAAAGACTGATTGATATTGGAGGGGTTTTCCAGGTAATAATAACTAAACCAACTGCATCCAAGCGCTGCTGCCTGAATCTGCCTAGGATTGCTGTCACGTGGTGTTTACCTATATATCCTTAAGCACCAACAACAAGCTACACGGTTGATCTGATATCCAATCATATTGTAAATTTAGACTATTATGGGAAGGCTATAAGGTTGCTTAGCCAACCATATTCCTTGAAGATAATTAAGTGCCGTATCTGTGACACGCTGAATACTTAAGGACACCATTCTCACTTACACAAAATAAACTCCTAACTGTGACTTGAATTATTTTTCAAACTTCACGTATTCTTAGAATTCCATCGAATATAGCCATGGCTGATAGCGCACCCGAAGTTCCCGCGGAGGAGCGCCAAGAAGATCCCGATGTAGTCGATAGGAAGGCAGAGGTTCTCGCGGAGCAGATCAAGAAGAGCAAGCACTTCATCGTTTTCACCGGGGCCGGCATTTCTACTTCAGCCGGTTAGTTCCACCGCCTTACTATGCGGTCATCGTCCGGTCTAAATCTTACGTAGGTACTAACTAGGTATTCCCGACTTCCGCGGCACCGAAGGCGTCTGGACGCTCATGGCCCAGGGGAGACAGCGGCCGAGCGCGGTGAACACCCTCCAAGCTGTACCAACTGCTACGCACATGGCTCTTGTCGAGCTACAGAATAGAGGGATATTGAAGTATCTGGTTAGCCAGAACTGCGATGCTTTACACCGGAAGAGTGGGATCTTACCTGTAAGTCTACCTATGACATGTCTGCGTTGGTAGATGAGTACAAGCGTGGTTTATAGTAATCTTGGTTTAGGATAGGATATCTGAGCTTCACGGCAATAATAATCGCGAGTACTGTAAGGATTGCGGGAAGGAATATATTCGCGGTACCTTATTTCCCCTATAATACCATCGCGACACCCCCCTAACAATTGATAGATTTCCGAGCTGTCGCCTCGTATGAAAAGACAGTCCACGATCACCGCACGGGGCGGAAATGCGTACGTTGCGGCGGGGACCTACTAGACAGCATCGTCAACTTCGGCGAGTATCTCCCCGCCGAGCCCCTAAGGCTTGCTCGCAACCACGCCAAGAAGACAGACCTGTGTCTCGTCCTAGGTTCTTCTCTCACGGTGCCCCCAGCGAGTGGAATCCCGGAAACAGTTGGTACGAGGAAAGCTGCGAAACTTGTCATCTGCAATCTGCAAGAAACGCCACTGGACGGGCTCGTAGACCAACGTATTTACTCAAAGGCGGACGAGCTGATGACTCGGGTTATGGCTAAACTCGACATTCCCATCCCACAGTTCATTCTCCGCCGCCGCCTAATTGTGCAGATGGAGACGACAGGCGGGAGCCGGCACCAGCTGAAGATCTGCGGTGTCGACGTCGACGGAACGCCCATGACTTTCCTCCGCTCTATAAAGCTTGACCAGTACTGTAGACGGGCAGCTTGTATAGAGCCCTTCACCATCAGTTTTCGCAGCGACTTAGATATAGGGACGGAACTGAAATTAGAGCTGGAGTTTATGGGGAACTACGGCGAGCCGAACCTAGAGATTATATACTCGTATACGGGCGAAGCTGGTACGGAAATGATGTATCTCCTTGAATATAACCCACAGACCGGAGAATGGAAGACGGAAAGGCAGGAGAGTCAAAGCGTCGATGAAGATAAGAAGCCTACACGACGAGGGAGGTAGTAGGCTAGGCCTTACTTGGTAGCGTGAGGGATATCGATTTAAGATAAATTGCACATAACATTACTATCAGGTAAAGAATATTAAATCTTGATTCACACCCTCAAACAAGCTTAACGCCTCGTGTCCCAACGATAGTAAACCCATACCCATCAGTCCTTATACCCACAATATAGAATCACTTCGAGCCATACTCCTTATACACTCCCCTCCGCCCCAACACCCACCCCATCACAACCGCAACACCCATCGCAGCCCTAGTAGCCACACCACCAACCCACCCCACGCCCAGCGTAACCGGATAATTATCCGCTCTCCAGAACAAATTCCACAGTTCCAGCGTCACGAGCGCGTCGCTCCCCGCGGCAGCATCCAGGATAATCCCGTTTAAATTGCGAAAGAACATTTCCTTCGCGCCGTCCTTCGGCTCCGTCCATTCTCTCACGACCAACTCCCTCATGTCTGCCCCTGAATCTTGCTCGGCTGCACCTAATCCATCCTCTACCCGGTCAGCGCGACGCCACTCATGCACCGCGCCCCGTGGCACCGTGACCACGCCGTCGGCAGGACCGACGCAGAATGTCCGACCGGACAGCGTGACGCGCGCGCAGCCAGCTAGTACCTGCAGGAACTCTGTGTGCGAGTCATGCCAGTGGGGTCCGGATGTCCACGCGGAGCCAACCGGGACCCGGATCGTGGCCTGGTCGCGCACCGAGAGGTCGTAAGTCACGGCTTCTGAACCCGTGCGCGTGAAGGTGTCTTGGTCCGTCCTGCGGGTTCGTCTTGATGAAGACATATTCACCTTTCAATCCTCCCACCTCACTGGGGAATTGTTGAGAGGCTAGATATCAGAGCAGATAAACTGATATTTTATGTTGTGAAGTAAGTTATCAGGCCCGTGGTGGTAGTTGATCTGTTACTACCGTTTAAGAAAATAGACGGGTGACCGAGCTGGGAACTTATAAAAAATAAGCCATCCGCCAACGGGCCAACATAGCTAGATTCTGTCAGATGTTAGGTGCTAGTAAATGCGGTTTACCTGTCCTATAATGGAGCTATTCCTTCTGTGCCGCATGATACTAACATAGCCCTTACCGAGCATGGATATACTCTGAGAACACGTTGTTATTTAAGATGCTTGATAATCGGTAATTGTATCAATTAATAAAACTGCATTTGATGCTATAGATACCGCGGTTTTTCATCACAATAAAGTGTAACTTACTAATCTCCTAGAGAGACAAATAGAAATGTCGTCTTGCAGATACCTAGCCAAATTATTACCAGGGTTTTAAGTATCGTTACTCTAACCGACGTCGTATTAAACTAGCCTTACTTTGGCCCTCGCGGATGAACCTACGTTTGCTGGGTACCTGATGTAAGTAAAGGTAAGCAAAGATTCTTATAATGAAATTAGGAGTCATACTATGGGTAGTTTGAGTAGACCGTAACTCATACGTCTCCCGGCCATAATGGGCGATTACCTGATATCGTACACAAAAATTACGTAGTCTGCATCATGAGCAGAGCTTACATCTCTGTAACTTACGCATACGCATATGCCTCAATAACCGAATACCGAATACCGTAACTTATAACATAACTTAAACCCTCCATAAAAACGCCGGCTTATTTCCCTAATAGGCATCGCTATTATGTCTATCCACTAACGACGTCGGTTTCGATTCTCCGCGTTCTTGATTTTTCTCGATGGCCAATTCATTATCTTCCTGTACTTAACCCAGAGGAAGAATACGTCCTTCAGCACGACAAATAAGCACCCACCGACAAGGCTTCGTCCCCACCGCTCTTGAAGCAGACCTGTGCAAAGGTTGGATGACGGTCGTGTAACGAATCGCGACGGAAGCACAAATCTTAATATCTCGCCCATTCCGTAACATACGCCTGGGAAAAGTAACGACCCGGCTAAGAAGTTCTCGAGCGGTCTGCCCCGTGTCACCGCGTTTCGATGATTGTCATGCCTATGGCCGACTGCCTCCTCTTCATCAGCACCGGCCATCATCATATCTAATTCAAAGTCGAGGAGATTATCACCATTAATCACTGGCTCCTCGCTCATAGGTATTGCGGCCGCCTGCTGGCCTGCCCCACTGACCATCAGCTTCCTTGCTTGTGCTTTCCATCTTTTCTCGAGGGTTTTGGAGAGTGTGCGGTGGAGTTGAAAGTACGAGGTCCTGAGGGCTGGGTAGATGGCTAAGGCTCGTTGCGGGGATGGAGGCCACGTGAAATACTCGTCCGCATGATCAATGACTGCTACGAATGTCGCATACTATTAGTTTCGCAAGCGAAATCATGTTAGCAACTAGACCTATACATGGTAACACGTGAAAGCTGCTTACCAGTACTGAAGTTGGAAACAAACTAACACTTTGTAAACTTAGTCGGTTGAGTACCAGTCCCGGGGCGATGAATGGTAATATTGCAAAGTTTATTAAGTTAATAGGGGGCATGCGACTCCTATCTGTTACGCGAACAGGGAGACGTATGAGACCAAATAAAACGGGGTCCTCAGTGCCAAACAGGAAGTCCATCGTGGCTTCAGGGCCCGCGAATAAATCGAGAGCTTTGATCCCATAAATGGAACTGCTCACCAGCGCACCGGAAGCAAGAAATCCGAACAAAATCTGCGGAGACCACTTTGAGTATGTAGTAATCAGGTAATTATCCAGATATGTGGCAAGGTCCCATCGCTCAGTAACTATAATGGGGGCTTTGCAGATGGGACACTTGATATCCTTGGACTGAGATTCCAGGTCTGTAATCCAAGCCATTAAACATTCATGATGTCCTTCTAGTGTGCATGTGCACGGCGTCGACCAATCGGTGGGGAGTGTAGCCTCGGGCTCATCAACGAGGCAGATGAAACATCGGCGGGTATTCGGTGGAGGATCAGAGAAGGAGTGGTGACTTGTGCGCTCATAGCTGTCGACAATCTGAGGCGCTGTCGCTATCGTATCGCTGTTTGTCGCATCATCGGAGGGCGTTTGGTCTGGCGAAGATGCCATCTTGAGTGAGCTACCTGCGATGGCTGCGGAAGGCTTTAATGGATACTATGCTATGCCATGCTCCGATTAATGACACCGAAAGAGTGAATGTGATAAAATCTAGATTAATTAGAGCTTGGTATACTAAATGTATGGTATGTAAGAGGTAGGTAGCCGTGAAGTTTGATATTGTAAGGCTACGGCATAAAATGAAAATAGGTGCAAGTTTATTGATTAATATCTCTAATAATTTGTCGCTGATATCATTGTTAGGTGCATGTCTGTACCCGGTAGCTAGTGCCTGCCTACCTGCGGGCATAGGTCCCCACACGTGGATACCGTTGTTAGGACCTTCCCCGCTTCCAACTGCAGGTACCTAACATGAAGTAGCTGAACGAAGTTGGTTAACAGCATACCCGTTTAATTACAAGCTATGAATCTATCATACCGTCATATGTAAAATATGAAGCATTCTTAAAGACAGACAAGATACTTGAATACTTGATTCTATCAACTAACAGTTATATCTTTATTTTGTTATTCATATTTCTTTGAACAATTTCTTCCCGTAAAGTTATCGCTGATCCCTAGGGTTGCCATCATGTAAGTTATGATGTTACTCGGGGCAATACGGAGTAGACTTCTCATTGCTCGGAGATAGTTCTTCTATACCTCTTCGGTTTCAGTTAAATCACCTCTCCCAGGTTAGTATCTTCGTACAGTGTTTATTATTTAATCAGGTACCGATTAGTTCCTCATGATACTGGTGTTGTGGTGTAGACGTTCATAGTATTTTAAGATAAGTGCCTGTTATATATATCCATATACTTAAGAAAATAATATAGTTAAATTTTATTTAACAACGGATAGTCTATTTTTTTTTTGAACAGCATGGGAAATCCTTCCCGAAGAAGGCCGCGAATGCCCTTACTATAGCAGTTAAGCCTGAACCATCCCGCTGTGCTGATGGCTAGCCGCCAAGGCGACCTCTGCATCCGAATGGACGGGTAATATGCAACGATCCCGAATCCCAGCTCCCGTACAGAACCCTTAATGAGCTCTTGCTAGGGGGGTTCTTTTAGTTTACGGGATATGTAACACTACAAAAAACATCTTACTCTGTCTTTCTTGCTCTTCAATTTTCTTGTCGTTCGTCTTTCTCGTTCGCCCTCAAGAGACATGACAAGGCCCCGAGCGCCAAGAGCGGCGGCCGTTGCGGGCGCGATCGCGCGAATTCTTGGCTTAGGTGCTTCTGTGGTATTACTGGCCAACCTTATCTACGAAAGCGTGAACTGGGGAAAGACGCTGGGACTTTCGGTCTCGGTGGTAAGGCATCAAATACCACGTAGAATGTGAATATCGACGCTGAATCCAAACCTTAGGCTGTGATTGCACTCTTAGTCGACGGCTCTGAGCTGTAAGAAACCTCTCAAATCCACTTATCCTAACTTTCGTTTTATATCGGACTCTTGAGATATATCCGAAATTCATATATCCCTACTCGGAGAAGTCATTACTGAGTTGTCTATATAGGACCGGGTTACTTGACTCGACCCGCACCATACCCCGTGTTTCCCCGTCTTGTTTAATCTGCGAAGATTTGTTGGTCCTTTGCTTGGCGATCCCTTCAATCTTCTTGATTATTTTGGGCAATATCCATGAGACGGCCGCCGACGCGCCATACCCCTGGGAAGGCACTGATTCCCTATCTTTTACAGTTACGATCGCCATATGGTGAGTTTCGACCAAAGTCTGATATATTTGTTATAGTCATGCTAACCGAACTAGCATCCTAAGAGTTATAATACTGATATGGAGCTGCGTGGATTGCTGTTACACACTGAAGCATCCGAGACGACCTGAGAGTATACTTACACCTGTACATTCAATAGGCGAGTTACGAGATGTTGCTCCAAGTAGATAATATATTATTAATATGCTTCTCTTATACTGCGTCATGCTTCGGGTATTCTCATACTACGCCACCTTCAAGTATGCTATCAATATGTGAGTACACAAATAAGCCTCAGTGATCGTGATATATTAGCGTCCACAAGCCCGAATTCCATCAAGGAGCTTTAGCGCATTCTTGTGCATAGCCATCCTTCGTAGGACACTTTACCTGCCCAGGGTGAGGCCTACAGGCGGTCCCTATGCAGCAAGTAGTGCTACGACTACACCCAGGGAGATCTACCTTGGTAGCATTGTCATCTGTAGGATATGTGTAGGCCATGCCTCGACAATCCTGAAAAATGTTCTCGGGACCAGGTGGATGCTCAGGATCATCTCTATATGGATTCGCACATGTCTTCCCATTCAGCTGCAGGTTTTTCTGTGGTCATGAATTAGCCACTAAGAAAATTGATAGTATTGCCTCGAAATTGACGAACCGGGCATATCTCTTGCAAGTTAAGATTGCAGCCGAATTGTACTTTATCATCGCATTCGCAGACCATCGGGACAGTGAAAGCGTCACTAAACTACGGTTAGCAGAACTAATATCAAAGTTTCAAGTAATAACTCTTACACATAGCTGACATCCATCGCCATAATTGCATGACCAGAATTCATGAAAAAGGACCCTTCCAACAATGTGGCTCGGTCTATGACACCAAAATCATTTTCATACATAGCCATTCGCCCAAACCACTAGGTATTTAACATTAGGATTTTTGCAATAAAAGGTAGGTGGGCTCTATTATTTGTTGTGACTTTTCGGAGACGACGGTCTCGAAATACACTCAAATCTAAACGAAGTAGAGGATAGGGTATGTCTGTGCTGGGTTTAAACTTACCCCCGTTGGGACGGCAAACGTAATAGTCTCTCCTGGAGCGATAGTGTTCGCCTGGTTATATCCTTTAGTTGCTGTCGGGCTGCCGGCGCCTTCTTGGTGCAGTGTAGAAACAGCCGCCGTGTGAGAATTAACCACGGTAAATACGAAGTCGCCTGCCTGGCCAACCGAAGCAATAGCTTCCGAGGGTTGTGTCTCCCTAGGTAAAATGACCGTCGTGATAGTTCCCAGAGCTACTCGGCAGACCCCGAGAAGCACTAAGATGGTTGGTGCCTTAATGGCCGTGATAGAGAGAGTAGAACGCATCCTCATTTCATTTAGAGGAACATAAATATTTCTTAAGATTTGCCATGGGGACATAGAGATCAAAAAGGAAGTAAGAACAAAAGCTATGAGGGTCCTAACAGGTTTATATATGTGTTGGTCTCCAAAAGAGCGTCATGGGTAATCTACTCGCTTTCAGAAGCAATTTAGAGGCATCTTGGTAAGAGGGGTTACTTGACATGAGTTTCAGTGATTCATAGTGACTCGATCAAATTCATCTTTGAAACCGGGCGTCATTGTTGGGACTGCTGATTTTGACGGGAGGTGACCTGTGTAAGAGTTACGCCGTGAGACGACGGTGTTGTTCCTATATTCCACGCCGAAGTATAAGAGAGAGAGAATTGGCACCACGTTTACAGGCCGTACGAATTGCGGTTTCTGTGATACGTTGGTATTTTGAGTTACTAGTAATATCACGCCTTGAAGCCTGGGAATCTCTGTTAACTCAATCGGTCAGTTATATCAGATGGCGAATTTTGTGCTATTGGATGGTCTCGAATTCCACCTTGACATGGGTTTAATCTATCTAATATATCTCGGTGGAAAGTCAAACCTACCTGTGCTTAATATATATAGAAATGAAACTTGTTAGACGCACAGATCAGTGTACATATATTACGAAGTTATTTACGTGTACAATATTGTAGCACCCTCAGTCTGATCTGTGCAATGCTTCCATGTTCCCATTTTAGGCGGGCGACGTCTACCATTATCAGGGTAACTTCGCACTATGCCAACAGAAGTTCATCACTTTTGGCTCGTATCCGTAGTAAGTGCCGTATCAGCCAAGGGAACATAAACGCGATTCGACATTCAAACGCGCTAGGGGGGCTCCAACCACTAGACAATTTATGATTAAGTACCTAATTATAGAGATTAAATGGCAGAGATTCTATCTATAGTCAAACTATACTTATAGAACAAGTCGATGCCCATGGTATTGGGCACGCTGTTCATTGGCTTCCAATACGGTAGTATTCGACCGCTCGGGGAAGCCCTTAAATGAGGCAGCAAAGGTGGCAACGGAGTGAGCAACGAGCTGTAAGGATGGTTAGCAATATAGTACTTAGATAGCGCGACTGAAGAGGGGAAGGAGACTGACCTTCGTGTTGGCAAGCCAAGCGGTTGAATTAACGTTGCCAATATCGTCACATAACTGATGGTAGCAAGGATCATACCAATCACCTGCTTTACCGCCGAACATGATTTCCTCCTCCTTTGTCTTATGACCCTCGGCTCCCGTTGCAATACCTCCTCCAGGGATACCGTTACGGATAAAAGCATCGTAGTCACTACGTCCATCGAAGGGAATAAAGGTGTGGTTAAGTCCTTGCGCCTCGTACCAATCAACGTATAAATTTCTTAGCTGCTCCGAGCCTTCAGGGTTTGCAGCATTTGTCGCATTATAGACTTGATAGGCAAAGTTTGGACTGCCCATCATGTCGTAGTCCATAAAAAGGCGGATCTTTAAGTTTTCTTCCTTCGGTAAGACCTCGACGTAGTAGTCCGAGCCAAGAAGACCCTCCTCTTCTCCAGCCCACCAAGCGAAACGCACGCAATTGTTAACGCTAAAATTGGTCAACTGTGTAGCAACTTCGAGGAGAGTAAGGCTACCCGAGCCGTCATCATTAATTCCCGGACCCTCTGCCACGCTATCGCTATGGCCTCCAAGCATGACACAGTTGTTTGGGTCCCCTTCGACAGTCTGAGCAATGATGTTTGTCGTTTCAATCTTCTTAACCTCCGAGTCGATGTATGCGATAGAGTCGATGACTTCGCCCTTCTTCAACTTCTCCAGTATGGGACTAGCATCCTCGCCTGACAAGCCAAATGTAGCAACATGGTCGGGAGTGGGACTCTCTAGTGTACCCGAAAGCGGCTCAGAAGCGTAGTTATACACGATCGCTGCCACTGCACCCGCCTTGCCGGCGAGCTCTGATTTGGCACCAAAGGAGCATTTGCCACGGAGGATAAAAGCAATATTGCCAGTTACGTTAGATGGATAGTCAGATGCATCGCATCCTTCGTTTGCTACAAAGATAAGGTCGCCATGAACAGGCTGTTTGTTAGTCGTTGGAGGAGTCAGCGACATCGGAAAAGCAGACTTGGGAACATCATGGCCAATAACTAGACGGGATTCGTAGACATTGCCCATAACAGCCGGAAATGGCTGCTTCGAAAGGGTGTAGTAGCCATCAAGCTTCCCTAAGGCAGAATATATATATTCCAAGGTAGCGGTATGACCTATAATATGAGTCAGACGCGTTATATGTATGTGTGTGAATTTATATCAATACATACCCTCACTTCCGATGACTCGAGTTGGATGTCCATACTCTGGTTCTGAGAGCTCTGCAAGACCATATAGACTCTTGGCACGCTCAACGAGGTTCTCAATCTTGATGCTGGCCTGCAGATCTTCAGTGTTGATCAACGGTTTGATAAGCGCGTTTCCTGCTTCCAATGGTTTTTGCGATACCAAAGGAATTTGAAATTCAGATGCGGTAGCAGTGCCCAGCACCGCAAATAAAAGCGTACGAGGCCATCGACGTGTTAGTGCCATAGTGTTCACAGCTTCTAACCTATTTCGATGGATGAGAAGAAGGATAGGTAAGAATAGAGGAAGATAGGAGAATGGTTTGTTTTGTTCCGTCACTGGGGAGATAACGCCATACTTATTCGCGTTAGATTAAGGAGAGACGGTGAGCTCTGTGGCGAAGCATTGTGGCGTCTTTCGTGGCGCTTATTAGATGAGATTGATAACACAACACTGTGTGAAAGGAGGTTGTAATGCATCTATCAAGGTTATCCGTTTAAAGAAGATAAATTGCTCTTACATGTATTTTTAACTCACGATATAAGTAGAAGCTATATTTAAAACAAGTTGAAAAGTAAGGTGGAATGATGGGAGAGCGGATAATTTCTAGGGAACTTATCTTGAACGACTTGGTTTGTCGTTCTGCTCGTTAACATATGTACCTACCTTACTGATAAGATGATAAATTCGGTGCGTAGGTAGGTGGACAAGGAAATATACCCAAGATAATACTATTCCGACAAATATGTAACCATAAATGTGGTCGACATTATTGAAAAGTTAAGGTAGGATGCGGTTTGGATATGTAGGGGTATGGAACGGGTGGACTTGGGATGGGTACCTATTTATATTGTGGATGTAATCGAAGCAATGGCCAAAGGGCTAGGTTAGTGATTCATAGTGTGAGCGAAGAGGCAGAGCTATAACCTGAGAATTACACACTATCTATGTCAATGCAAAGTCCGTGTATATTCATGGGAAGCAACAAAGACCGAGCCTATAAGCTTGGTGTTTTGATTAATAATTTTTTAAGACCCAAGCTCTCTCGCTTACCGTGTTTTAGGTCGTTTTATAGAAAGGCGGAGGGTAAACTACGAAAGGTGACTTATGTATGCGCGGCCTCAACGATTACGTTAACTGAGGTAACCTATATTCTCTATTAATACAACCGGTACTGCCGAAATATTTGGCTAAGCTAAAACTAGGGTATCTTTGGGAAATCAGACTCTTCGTTACATATTCGTGCAAGGTGTCATCCTTGCTTAAGAGAAGGGATGGTTTGCTTATACTGGGCGTCAGGCAGGGATAAATTCGTTCCGAGTGACGATCGCATCCCGTTCGTCCCGCATAACAAAGCCTACTGTCCATCCACATATCTCCTTTCCATTTAAATCAATATATGTAGACGACTTCGGCTCCATTATGGTAAACCGTACCCTCTTCTCATCTGGTGGCAAGCCTGGGCATTGAACCGGAGTAGCAGGTTGCCCTTCGTCGTTTAGTACCACGCCATGCTCAATCTCGATAACCCGGCGCGCCAACGCATACACTTGGTCTAACTCCCATAGGTTTTCTCGTGGAACTCCGAGCACTCTTATTAAGCGTAAAGCTTCTAATCGTATGCTCAAGACTCGGCATTTCGTTGCGATAAGGTGAAGCCACACCATGAAGCCTGTCTCAAAGATAAACTGCGGTTCGCGTTTTGTAGTTGGCATTCGAGATCCATCGGGAAGCACGGAGTCAACGAGTAGGCATGAATCGAGTGCTCGCTGAAAACCGCTCAGATATTGATCGTAACACATCTCGTTGGCCTCGAAGGCTATGGCTAGCGTGATTCGACTGAGCTCGTAGCGTACTAGTAAGATCGCACGGGACATTGCTTTGATGAACTCTATTCCTAAATTGTACCATTCTGTTGTGGGTGTAGTCGGTAACATTGACCTAGTATCCAGGCCTTTGAATAAAACTTGCCATTCGTCTAGGAGATTTTCAACTACCTTCTGTTCTTCCAGTAGGTCGGACGACACCGTCTTATATCGTAAGTCCCCGAACCGGTACGAATCTGCCCTTCGTGTAACATGTAACGTCCGACTTTGTAAATAATCCATTGCCGACGCTGCATCGATATAATCGTCGAAGGATGTTGGAAGAGGGCTATTTACGGAGACAAGGTCGGGAAAATCGATAGACCCCGTCCCGAAGAAGAAAGGAAAAGAACTTAGTCGCCTAAACACTGGTAATAAGTGTTCTCTTGCCCAGGAGTAATTAGCATCCTCGAGTAGAGCAATGCCATGTTTGCAGTGTTGTATGGCTGCCTCTTTGTTAGACTGTAAAAATTCGATGCATATGAAAAGAATGCAGACTAATAGTACTAGAGGATGGTTATCCGTCGTCTTTAGTTCGCGAATAGCAGCGTTATAATGTTGTAGCGCAAGGCTATTATCCCTTAGCTGAACCCCTGAGTGCGATTTTTCGCCCTCAGCTTGGAACTGTTCATATAACGAACTTATAGCTATGACAGAATGTCTAACAGCTGGTTCAAAATTGCTGAACTGCATAACTAAATGGGTCCAGAAGTACGGGTCAGTAGCCCCTGATAAAAACTGGGCCGTCTTCTCGCAGAAGAAATGCAGGGCTCTCCCTTCACTGGCGCTGTCTATACTCTGAAATAGCTGACGCGGGCGGTTCCAGAGCAGTCCCGAGCTCGGTTTAGTGGCATAACCGCTACACGCGCGCCCGGTGGTAATACAACGGTTACAGTGTGGCTTGCCTTCGTCACACTTCACTTTGCGTGCTCTATCATATGTTAATCAGGGCTGCTGGGTAATTGGTTGGTGATTACTCAAAGCAGAACCTACTTGCAGGTGAGACAGCCCGTCCTGACTTTACGACTCCCTTTCCGAGGCATTTCTATGAATAAGTCGAAATATGCGCGTCCGGTATTTTGTTAGATTTCCAGCCTAAGCGAACCCACCAAATGCGAGTCGGTCTTCTTTGTATGACACCAGTACCGTGGATACCGACCGAATGGAAGTTTGTGATTGATATCTCAAAACGCGGAGTATCCCTGCCAGATGGATCGCGCTAGGTACAGTCCAGCGGGTCAACAAGGCTCGAGTCCGAGCAAGCCAATGAGAGGCAAGTTTAACTGAACTCCTTAAGAGGTTAGGTGGTTGATAAAGATCCTTGTCCATCCTAATATATTTGTGGAATACGTTTAACTTCCAAGTTTTCTAATAAAAACAACACTTCACTCATACTACGACACCTTTTTAATAGATTCTTTCAAATATATATCTTATGGCATCACCACCAGCTCCCTCGGCTTAACCTAGTGCCTAAACCCGAATCCATAACATACGAGTTTTAAACGGATCGCTAACATCGAATAAGCTAGAACAAGGGGTTTAATTTATGCTAAACACCAACTACGCATTAGGGTTCCTACATAGTCGTGCTACTATCACGGTATATCCTAGTTGCGTAGGGCTGTAACACGTGTATTTCACAGCCAGAAAATCAAACACATGGTATCAGCTTTTTCATTTCATTCGGTTTCGGAACCGCTCCCATTGGTTTATTGTTCACTCCAGTAGACTCCATATTTCTTACATTCGGAGACATGAAGCCCGGAAATATTCTTAAGCATCTTATAGCCGCCATTACACCTCATGGAATAATTCGATTATTTTGATGCATTATCATGTCTTATCTACATATTCGATGAAAGGAATCATACCATCGTTATTGCGAACCCGTAAAATGTTTAAATATTGACGGAATTTACCCAGAGAATTCTATCTACCAATGAACATCTTGATTTATGCGTCACTAAGTGGGAGAATCAAGGTGAAACATATTCTTTACTGAGTGACAAGCCAAAAAGTTTATACTATCTAACCAATACTGATTTCTCCTACAGTACCAGAAGCAGATATGGTCTACGTGTTAGATAGTAGGTTTACCCTGCGAAAAGTTGATGTTGCTAAAAGATTGAGGTTGAATAAATCATATTCCAGCAGCCCCCACCCCAAGTACCTATATTGAGTAAGGACATTGTGTATGAGAGACCATTGTCTAGTCCTTCAATAGTGCTTCCTTTGTTAGGAGTAGTATAAAGCTTATTGGTATTAGTTGCAAAGGATCCAGGGACAAAGCCAACGACTATATGTTAGCACTCACAATGAAATTTCTAAAAGTATGGGGCTTTCGAGAACTGGCCAGACTAGAGACAGATACTCCATAAGTACCCGTTTTCATTTATTTTTGGGTAGTTTTCTGGATATGATGGCTTCTGAATTTTAGATTTGTTTACCTAGGAGATTTATAAGTACTGAATATCATTATATATTGAAGTTGTGGTATATCTGAGACTAGTCGCTGCATAGCTTTTAGAGGAGATAACCATGAGATACTGCGATTAAAAAACTTTGAATCCCTAGTATGTATGTTATATTTGAGTCATGCTACTACCGGGAAGATGTGGACGGGAGTCACCTTAGATATGTAATCAAGAAACTATAGTGCAACTATAGTGGTAAGAGCTCCAGCATACAGATATAATTGAATTATCTTCATTTAGAATTAGTTTGACTGCAGCCACCCTGCCACCAAAAGGAAATTAGCCTTTTTAAGGAGTTTCCTAGAAAGTAATGTCCTATGTAGAAGTAAAACGAGGAAGTAGTCCCCGCACTATGATCTAACGAAGTGATGTAACGAAACTTCTACTAAGAACTTGCTAGCTAAGGCTATGACTGTGCGAGACATGTGTACTTCAAACTTAAACAGCGCCTTCGTTCTGTAAAGAACAAATATTTGTATATATCTCGGAAGCTCCCACGCTCTTTTAGTTCCAAACCATACACGACTAATCCACAGCTGTGAAAGTTTATATTTCTTCTATTCCATCACCAAGATGTCTTCGAGTAACCAGCATTCCTATGTGAGACGGGTGCTTAGTAGAAACGATAACTCATCTTCCAGCTCCGAGAGTCGGCGTCTAGAAGAACAGGCTACAATCGGCTCATCTGCACGTTTCGTCTGCATGTCGCGGTTTCATGAAAGGTCTCCCGATGAAAAAATATGGTTGGATGACTGGTTTCAATACACATGTACCGCATGCAGACAGAAATGGTCAGAGCAAGAAAAGACAACCGAACAACTAGACGAAGAAAAAAAAGCCTACGAAGAAAAAATCCGACAAGAAAAAAAGGCTCGCCAAGAAGAAAACGCTCGACAGGAGAGGGCTCGCCAAGACGAGGCTATGCGCTTGCTTATGGAGAGAGCGAATGCAATATTTCTACCTCCCTTCTCAGTGATGTAGAGGAAGTATTGACGACCTCTGTGAGTGATATATGCCCCCAAAGCTCACCATCTAAGGGAGTCGAGTTGTCTAAGGCTGGGACCGTACATCCCTACAATAGCTCCAGGAGCCTCAACAGCGAGCTCAGGGGGCGAAAGCGAAAGCGAAAGTCGGATGTCCTAGACGATAATCCTCGAGAAAAGAAGAGGCGAATAACCGAGAAAGATATAAAAGCCAATGTCGCACTTCCTCTCGAAATTATTTCTAGTGCTTTATCCGAAGCGCTGCATTCTAAAGCCCAATGCGCTCTGGATTTATTAGTGCCTGACTGGCATCCATGTAAGCAATATAACCCACTCTTAGATAACCCTTTGACTTCTACAAGAGTCGTCACATACACACAAGGCGTTGGGGGCAAAGTTGGCAGTCTCTTAACCAGCCTTGGGCATGGAGACGGCGATCATAACTTCCTCCATGTAAAATTCCCTAGTAGGAGTCTTTTAACACTTAATAAGTGGTGTAATAACGAGGTGAACAGGATCCTCTGCCTCGAAGGCGCACAAGTTTTCGAACTGGCCGCGGACGGTTTCCCTCCTAATATCACCGAGGAATCCTTTCTAATCAACCGGAGAGATGCGTTTCCCATAAGAGGAAAACGTTCGCGAGGTATTCTTCCATATGATGATGAAGAGCCTGAAGCTGATAAGAAAGTCATGCCAAGTGGCTCACCTTATATCTTTAAGCTCCTGCGTCATATTGTACTTCGTTCACCGCTAACCCTCATGAAGATTGACGCTCGTAGCATGATCGGGTTCGAGACCCAAATAAACGATGTTAATCTCGAGGCGCTTGATATGAGTATCGACTTAGATCGGGGTTCGCCCATATGGCTATCATGGTCACAAATGCCGATGCTGGAGAGCGTCCTCCTCGACCTACGCATCTATAGCCACGACATTAACACTGATCGTGGGTGCATCGGTAAAGGCGAGATCATAAGGCGGGCGCAAGAGATGGGCCGCTGGCTACGATTGAAGTTGCTGGTTATTGCTGGCCTACAGAGCTACAGCTTCGATACGAGTTATGATACATACACGGCAGAACTAATCGAAGAAGTCGACGAGATAGACGGAGAACCTAATTGGATCAAGGTTTTTTTGCCGGCTGTACGTCCTGGAGGTCAACTTATTCTCGTAGATCGGTTGGCGGATGAATCAACGGAGTCTTAATATTTGAATAGCATGAGAGAACCACTCGTATCGTGTAAGGGTAGTATTTACATAATGATTGTGATAAATGATTAATACTAAGCTTGGATACACAGATAGATATGTAAAATCACGACCTAGAGATCAAATGGTTAACACGAACCCGAGGCAAGTAAGTGTCTTGGTAGAAGTTGTCCTGAAAAGGCGAACTGAATGAAATCGGAATACGCATATAAACAAATGTCCCTTTATCCGTTTATGCTCTAATAATTACTAGCTCTTTTATACATTTCATCACTGACTCTTTCAATCTCTTAATCACATATTGTCTAGCTTTCAGCATGATGGATACGCTTTTTTTGATCTTCCCATAGCAACACGGCGGTTATCTACCTTACTTCTTGTTCTATATAAGTTTTGGTAGTTGTGTATATTGGAAAAATGAACCGCTTAATCCGAGATGGTCTTTAGAATAGTCTGTCTGCAGCGGCTCATAGTGCTGTGTGTTATGTACCTGAATAACCATCAATAGCGCTTAGGGCGTTTAGTAGTCCTGGGGCGTCTCCTCCGCAGTCATTGCTAGCACATGTGCACTAAGTGAAGAACTTTACACGATCATGATCAGGTTTTGTGCCGCATATTATATTACCAATCCTCAGGTGTACAATACGATCTTACCGGCTGGAATTTTGTGAGAGTGCTTTAGTTTATTTTATTTTATTTTTTATCACCGAGGAGTTTATTTAGAAAAGCGCGAGACTTCATGAAGCTACCTGTTTTCCCCTATGCAATTGCGGGTGCTGGCTTAACTTGGATGGTGTTGGAGCGGGATTGGTACCTGTCGTAGTAAGCGAAATATACCTCTTATGCGGGTATTAATGCATGCGGGTAAGTGGGATGTTTATTCCTATAGGTACATAACGGGGATATTGGATATTAAAGATAGCTTACTACGTACCTAAGGAACCTAATGTTACATTACCTAATATTCTTAACCTACAAACCGCCAGTTCGATAATTCGAAACATCCTTTCCCTTTCTTTTTTTCCGAACATTTTATTTTCTAATTACAGATTTTACAGATTTTCAGGGTAGCTCACAAGGCATGCCAGTTGGCTACAGCTCATAGTTATGTTGCATCGTCTCACGTGGCTTCACATAATGATGGTGCCACCACACCACCCAACGAAGCGGTGGAAGCTTCAAAGTTGTCGCCCAATTACATATTAGGTATTAGGTACTTGAAACATTAGGTCGCGACCTTATATTAGGTATGTATTCACAGATGAGAGATAAGATAGGTACCTACATAGGTAACCTTTATTTCAAATACAACTTTCACTTTGCCCCGCAGACCTCAGACATCTGAGGATTATCATAGGTTGCTGATTTGCGCAAGCTATGACTCTCGTTCAGGACTTCATTTTAATGTTCAATAACGATTAGAAGATCATAAAGTTTACCTAGCGTATAAATCATTATCCCATGGAATAATTCTTTCCTTCATTTCATTGGTCGTATCTGTTCTAGCCACTCTAGTTCTGCCACATGGATATTGTATCAAGCAGCTATATCTATTACTATTACATGTCACCAACGATCAACTACCTTTCCTAATTTACCCGCAACCTCAATCATGTTTCCACAACGCCGGCCATTGGCCTCCACAATTCGCTCTGCGGAATCGTCACAGCATCGCAGCGATAGGCACAGGCACCATTCAAGACGTCGCGATGCCTCTCGGGAGAAAAGGAAGGTAGAACTTATCGACCTTGACGATATTTTTACCGAGCGGAATCCTGTAAAAATTGCTTTTAAGACTTGGCAGTTAGACGACGTAGGCGCCTCGCTGAAGAAGAAATTCCCGGAAGGGGCCCAAGAAATTCCAGAGGATGCCGAGGTGCAATTCTTTTCCGACAACAAACGCTTGGAGGGAGATGACATCCCTAAAGATTCACACCCATTATTTTATAGGGTTCTACGAGAAGGTGACGACGGCTCATTCCGAGTCGTCTGGAGAGGGAACAGCGTGAAGTTGCGTAGGCCGGAGAGGGAAGCAATAGCTCGTGAAGCTACTATGGGAAAGTCCGTAGGTAGTCTTCGAGAGATTGTAGCAAACCTCCTACGAGATACCAATAAGTCCAAGGAGGCTCTAGTACAAAATTCCAACCAAATCGTGATCGAAACAGAAGGTGGCCTGGTACAGAGGCTGCTAGAAGGAAATAGTTGGGAAGTCCGCAAGGCGATGGCATGGCTCTGTCGTTATCTGATTATCAGTATGAAACCAGTCGACAGCTATTTCGTCCTACAAGGATTCAACGAACAGTATATCTGCCATAAACCATGTCTGAACCGCCGTGGTTATGCAGACACTCTAAAGCTCAAGACCTGGCTTAAGAATGAGGTATTAGCGACGGTCTATTCCGATAATAAAGCTCGCCGGCGCCACATCAACTTCGAGGATATCAAACTGACCTATAATGGTAAACCGGTCACAAGAGCTAGCCACATTCGTCCCGGGGCAACTATCGGCTTTGAAGTTCCCCGTTCTATAGAGGATAAATTCGTTCGCGCGGAGAGTTGGCTGGTTCCTACGTCGGAGACGTGCATCGTATGCGGCGACGAAAAGAGAGTCTCCGAGATGCCGAATAGGAAACGGATTACGGCAGCTTGTAACCATGATGCCACCACTTGTAAAGCCTGCGTTGGCCTCTGGATAGCTTCGAGTTTGGAAAGAATTACGTGGGACCGTTTGAAATGCCCAGAATGTCCTCAGCTACTCAAGTTCGAGAACGTCCGAGCTTTTGCTTCCCGAGAAATCTTCGATAAATATGATATGCTAGCTACAAAGGCCTTGCTAACGGGAATCCCGGAGTTTATGTGGTGTTTGAATCCTGGATGTGAGTCGGGCCAGATCCATCCCACTGGTTGTTCAAAAGCAAGATGCTATGGATGCAAACGTAACATCTGCATACGGCACAACGTTCCGTGGCACAGGGGAGAAACCTGCGATGAATACGACAAGCGAACACGTAAACAGAGGAAAAATGACGAAGCATCCGAAAAGCACATCAAGGAGATGAGCAAACCATGTCCCGGATGCAAGAGGAATATAAACAAATACATAGGGTGTGATCATGTCACCTGTAAGTTTCTAATCTCATTGAAGTCGTTGAATATACCTAGAATACCGAACTAACTTAAAATTATCAGGTATTTGTGGTCACGAATGGTGTTGGCTATGTTTCGAGCCGTATTATAAAGACGAACAAGATTTCCTCCAGTGTCACCACACGCGGGAGTGTCAGTACTACGATAACCCACCTAATTATGAGGGAGGCAGGGCCTTCATGCCCTTTATGAATGCGCCGCTAAGACCACATGTTCCTATCGCTAGGCGACAAGAGCCACGGCAAAACATCCTATTTCCCATAAGACCCAGAAACCGACCCCCAGAACCTCGCCCTAATCCCGGCCCCGTGCCTCCTGCAGGTAACGAAGAGGGGGCGAATCGGCTCAGGGGGCGCCGAGGGGGTATTATAGATCTTAACCCGTTCAATCCAGCCCCCGATATAAATCGCGCGCGCCGCCAACGCTTCGATCTACCCCCGGAATTAATGGACGATGAAATGATATTACATCTGGGACATCTAATGCAAGGTACGGGTAGAAATTGAGAAGCGAACTTCAAGATAGTTCTATGAGGACGGTATATGAAAATTGGTCGCTATAGATAAGGATTATTATAGATAGGAGTATCGTTCGAGGGGGTCGGCTTGCGAAGGCTAAGGGTGACTGACCTCTCTAGGTACTAGATGGATTAATTCGGACTGATCCGGCCAAGCTCACCTGGTCGGGTGTATTTAAACAACGGAATCTACACTCGCTTTTGATGTAGTATATATTCGTTAAGGAACGAAACACTGTGAGCGTAACTAAAATAGCTATTTAAACCACTATAAAATATATCTTAACCAAATACTTAGCAGATAGGCACCCTTAATAAAAGTATTGAAATAGTATGTAGCCCTTTTTGTTTGTTAACAGCGTAATTAAAGGAAAATGATGAATATAACAATGTCAGGGTGTGAGTAAGGGGTAAATATAGGGGTAAAAGACCATCTATGCGATATATTATATTCAACTTAGTTCTTGCGGATACTTCTTCATTGTATTTGTATTTATACATATAAAGAATCATCTGTAGGCTTAGAGATATACGCATCCTCGCTGGTAAGGCTCAGATGCATTACACTCTGTTCAGGGTCAAACATCGTAGAAAGATCTGAAGGTACCTCTGTAACGCCCCATCTAAGCTTCCCCTCTGAAAGCTTGGTAAGCAATTCTTGCTTGGCTATATGGCTGGTCTCGTCATCTATTATGGTTAGTATAAAATAATAATATGAAGTCTTACTTACCTTCATTATCTGATTCTTCGCCTATATAAAGGCTATCTTGGTCGGGTATAAAGGATGAAACGTGAGGATGACATGCTGCTGAAAGGACGAGCGAGTCACATGCTCCAAATACCATATCGCCAGGAAGTCTACAGAAGCCGTAGATAATTGGAAAAATCGCTAGAACCAGGCCTGCGAGTAGACCTATCAGGATACCAAGGGGCCAGAAGCCTAACAGAATGATAGTTCCTTCGGGCATACCCCACTTATTGCTAGGGCTCCAGGAGTCCATATTATAGTCGTCTAGTAGATAACCTAACCTTCAATCAGTATGTAAACTAAGCACAGTTATAATTCACTATATTACCTCCATTACTGGCGAAGATATAAAATGAGTTAGAGGCAAGTAAATGCAATAGAAAACTTGCAGTAAGAAGAGGTAAGCTATAGAGATATGGCAACTGTAGCCAATAGGTTGAAACTTGGTCGCCTGTAGGATATGACACCCGGAGTGGCTTAGGTGGTGCTAGACTATATGAATTAAACTCCCTTTCGGCTACTAAGCGTGTAAATAAGAATGTATATGAATAAAAGGAGTAGGATAGTATAAATTGTGGTGCGCCAGCAATGAGTAGCATATTCAAGTATCCACGACCTTGCAAAAATCCGTTTATGAAAAAGGGTGACTCGGATACCCCTATAGTTCCTTGACTAATTTTATGTTAGTAGGGATAGACCTTCTCTTCTTTAGGATTAGTATAAGCAATAAATATGATAGTTTACTTACAGACTCACTCTATTAAATACGCCTATACTATTCGCATAATATGTTCCAGCACATATAAAGCAGATTATTGGCATTAGAGTACCAGACCAAGCACGTCTCGGGACGATAGATATGAGTCTATTGCCACCGCGGTGCCAAAGACGGGGCTGGACTGTATTGCTGAGATTGGTCGCGCTCTCGGTTCCAGTATCTGCGAGCTGCTCGAATTGAATTCGATGGCTATCATAGTTATTGAAAGTACCTAGCCCTATAGTAACTGGGTCTGGGTTCGATATGAATGATTCTAGCGCGTCTCCGAGAGTAACTAATGATGTGTGTGGGAGATAAATAACTACCAATGTGCATATGAAAGCTTTCAAGAAAACACAGCTTGTCGTGATAAGGAGTAGTGTATTGGATAGCCCGACTTGGCATGAGGATATGGGGGACGGCTCGGCTAGGCAATACCGTACGGGGAAACTATTGAAGCTGGAATTGTACCCGAATCTCTTTTCGTTAGGAGTACTACAGGGCGATGGCCTGTGTAAATTGATTATCCAACCTGATTCTGATAAAGCTATCTCATTTGTCGGTATTGAAGTCGATATATGCCCCAGAATACGTCCACAACTACTTATACAATATGCAGTTCCCATATCGGAAAAGGCCATAGCTGTAGGTAGGTTAGTGGTGCACTGTGTAGAATACCATAAGGAGTTGAGATCGTTGCGCGGTATATATGAATTCCAGATTGGCCCCAGGATGTTAGATGGGTCGCTGAAAACCTCCGACCGCGTCCACCCCCCTAGGGTATCAGCCTTAGTGTCAACAACAATGACGACGTCTCGGTATTTATTTTTCGGTTTGCAAGATGCGTAATATTCTTGACAGTCATGCGATGTGATATTGTGCCAGAATATCGATTCGCTTGCCGTTTTTGTAATATTATGATATACTAGAGATTGCTTATCCCAATAGTCTTCCAATGCTACATGTTCGCCGTAGCCCTCCGTGTATTTACACATAGAGCCTTCTATAATGGAGCTGTTCCAAGTGATACTTTCAGTGCCAGCATTGGTCAAGCTAGCTCCGGGTGGAAAAAAAGCAACTTGTTGAGTGCTAAAAGAGCTCGATGCTACGGTCAGACGCCAATCTGAACTCTGGAAATGAGTCTCGAAAATCGAGCTGTTGAAAAGTAGATGTATAGGGGTTGAGCTAAGAAGAAGGATAACCCAACCAATAGCTTTGTATCTAGAAATGAAACGAATGTTCTTCATCGATGAGATCCCTATCTCTAACGATCGAAGCTGTAGATGGGCGCGGTTGACCTCTAAACGTGACGGGGAGCTTAATATCTGCATAAAAAATCGCGATGATGCGAGAATAAGAGTGGATATAATGCTTATAAAGGAGTGAAGGACCAAATTAGCTCTGTGTGCTTTTTGACAATCACCATCAAGGATAATAGTGGTTGAATTAAGTGTAGACCCTCGTTGTGCCATCATTACAACAAGATAGACAAGAAGTATGATCCCGCAACAACATGTACAGGTAAGGTTCATAAGTCCAGTGCGCCTCCATTCTTCTTTTGGGATTGATATAGATGGAAATTTCATCGTGTTACTCATTTATCTATTAGGTAGCTCAAGTAAAAAGACAGGAATATCAGGATATAAGGCGACTATTGGAGTTGCCGGGGAATTTCTTCAATAAAGATAAGAAATGGGAAAGTTGGTACGCCTCCTATGTCATCGGGATATAAAACTGGAATAATACTAGAGGCTAGAATGACTTCACACGGTACGAGTGTGGCGCCCACTAGTTCACCGAGAGGAATCATTCCCTGTATTTAAAACAACATTTAGGTACCTACCGTAGCGGCAGTGTATGGGTTTCAGGAAGGATTCCATGCGTAGATTATCATATTACCCATAATAATGGTTAAAATGGGTAATACCATATTTTATAAAATTATAATTCTTTTGTAAAAAATCATTCCTTTCCCAGGAATGATTCCTTAGAACTGAAGGCTCTGATTGGCTGGAATAAGTGGGATTAAGGTCATGTGACCCCCAAAAACCTTAAAAATCAAAAAAGCTAGGATGCCTGGGACTCGAACCCCAGGCTCCTAGCCCCACTACAGCACGTCCCACTAATGCGGGAGTGTTTTGATTGAGCTAGCAGCTCTAGTGGGTGGCCAGTCCTCTAGTGCTGTTGAAAGTTTACCCGTTTTTGAACCTTATTACCCACACTTTCATTTTTTTAATATTGTAATAATATTTTGTCCAATCAAGATTCTAATTCCCGTACAAAAAAGGATATCCCATACAAAAATCATTCCACCCCCCAAATATCATATCTCAAAACCACATTTTGCCGGTATGGTAACTGGCTAATCTAAGTTTAAGTATTGATATTTACTTCTAAATTCTCCAATGATCTGGTTAGTTATAAGCCTATTCTTGGAGTGTTGCCATGTGCGACTCTAGGTCCTGTAATATATAAGACAGGAGCCGTCCCTTTACAGCTTGAGAATATCACGGAACCCCCTAATACTTCTGTTCAAATCCGATTCCAAATAGAAATATATTAGAAATGGTTAATATCCAATGTCAGTACGGCATTCGTGATAGGTCTTTGAGACTCGCTCGCCTATCACTGTTGTTATTAGTTTTTCTTTTATCGTTCAAGTTGTATTATCCAGATTTTGACTACAGTCTCGCCTCCGTATGTATAATATACCTGACTTACGTATAGGACTAGAGGTTAACCAATTTTAGGCCGGCGCTGAGATATTCTGGGCACTGATGCAAGTAATCGATATGGACTGCGGAAGTTCACCTGAGATCAATTTGATCACACACGCATGCCTCGACATATCTGTAGCTTCTGTCTCCTTAGGTATGATGCTACAACTAAGTTTCTGTATTACTCGCCGTGGGCTCAACTCAATATATTACTGGTGGACTATGATTTCATGGGGTGGTCTTGCGTAAGTTCTATGTTCTTCTATATGATACTGGCCCCCAGATTAACTATATAAATAGGATTGTAAACGTATTTCTATCATATCATACCATTATGCTGTTTTCAAAGAGAAGATGGGGTCGCAAGTTGAAACCCCAAATCATGTTCAACGCTTCAGGGGATCCTGTTGCTGTGGCGTTTAGCCCAAACAATTCAATTAACCTCACTAACATGCGTTAGTGAGTTCTGAGATATTAACAATGAATAGAGTATCGAAACCACCACCTATCCCATAGGTACTTGTTATTAAAATGAATAGAACAAAGCTAAAAGCCTTAATCTAGATATTACTTCCAAATTGTCTTTCGACTCGCGGTTTACGATAAATGCGTTACGCGCGCTTGGCAAGACGGATACATGCATTACTCCACTTTCGCAATCGACCTTGTCTAATGTCGTCAACCGAAAGGGCGCGTAGTGGATACGACGTGTACATCCAAACGTTTCGCCGACAGGCCGACTATAATACGAAACGGCCCGTCGCTCACCGAAGCTCATATATTGCATTTTTCTCAATCTCTCCTTTTTTTTCTCAACTTGAGCTCTCACAGACCACCACGACTGGCTGTAAGGAGTGAGATTCACTATGGATGAAACTCAGCCTTTACTGCAGGATGCGCATCTGGTGTTCAACGAGAGGCCAGATCAAGCATCGATTAAGGACATTGTGGACTTTCATCCAGATGGGGATGAGGAGAATCCTCTTGAATGGCCACAGGCGTACAAGTGGGCGATCGTGGCTCTTCTGGCTTTGATGGCTTTCACGGTGTACGTATCACTAATTGGTCCATTAAAATTTTCATGAAACTGACTATTGCGGCAGAACATTTACATGTATATCCGTCGTGCCTGTTGCAACACGTATAGTGGATGATCTTGACCATGGCCATTCTAGCAAATCTGCTAGCGTGTTGCTGGTAACGATTTGGGAGCTCGGTGAAGCTGCTGGACCCTTGCTTATCGCTCCGTTATCAGAAGTCTTTGGTCGGTACCCTGTGATGAACGTTGCCAATGTTCTATTCATTACAGCAACAGTTCTAGCAGCGTTATCCCAGAGCACGACGTTGTTCATTGCCGCGAGGACTTTAACAGGCCTCGCCGTGGCATCGAATGTGCTAAACCCCGCTATCGTTGGCGATATATTCATATCAGAGCAAAGAGGCTCAGCCATGAGCTTGATCCAACTTGCACCGCTGATCGGCGGAGCGGTCGGGCCTGCTATCAGCGGGGCTATCGCCGAAACCATGGGTTGGCGGAGCACAATGTGGATGTGTGTGATATTAGCTGCTACATGTGAAGTAGTGTTTCTTACGTGTTTCCGTGAAACATATAAAGTTGCCATTTTAAGACGAAAGGCAGCGAGACTTCGGCTTGAAACTGGTAATACAGCGTTACGAACTGTGTTTGACGCGGATGATGGCTCAAGATCCGAGAAATTATGGGGTGCAATCATCCGCCCCTTTACTGTGCTAGCGGGCTCGGGCGTGTTGCAAATGCTATCGCTTTTCGGTTCTATTACTTTCACGTACTTTTACATCTTGGTCACTACTCTCCCAGATATCCTTGGGACCATATACGGTTTGTCGCCTGCGGGTGCTGGATCCGCGCTTATCAGCTTCAGTAAGTTTTCTTCTTTCTTGTCTCTGGAAGTATCTATCTCGTCAAACGTACGCTATGCTAACATGTATGTAGGTATTGGTTCGGCTTTAAGCGTAGTACTATGCAACCAAACTCTAGACAGAATCTACATCAAACTCCGCGACTCTCATAAGGGGGTTGGTCAACCGGAATACCGTTTACCCTTGGTTATTGTCGGAGGGTTTACCTTACCTCTGGTCGCCGCATGGTACGGATGGAGTGCGCAATTACACGCTCCAATTCTACTGTTACTCTTCTCGGTTGCAATCATGGGCCTTACTCTCATGCTAGGGTTCCTTCCACTCTATGCTTATGTTGTAGACGCTTTTGGGTTGTACGCCGCCTCTGCCATGACTGCGGTGATTGTCACAAGGTGCTTAGCAGGCACATTCCTACCATTAGCTGCTGCACCTCTAGTTGATAGATTTGGGTATGGGATAGGCTTGTCAATTCTAGGAGCGGCAAGTTTCCTTCTCGCGCCGATCCCAGTATTAGTTCTGAGGTATGGATCTAAATGGCGACAGGGCTCTAAGTATTCCAGAGACGAATGAGCTGCCCTGTCCTAGTATGGAAGCTATTAGAACTTCAACCTCAATATCAGTAGTTCATCTTGTGTAGTAGATTGGATTGGACTTTTAAAAGCTATGTCAAGCTGTTACAACAAAGCCTACGTTGAGTCACGTCTTTGAGTCATCAGAGTGACCCTATAGACTTTAGCTCCAATGTGTCAACCACTAATAAGTAATAGTATTAGGACCAAAGTAATACCCAAAGAATCTATGAGATTATTATATAAAATTGAAGGCCCTGGGTTAAACGCCAGATCATGATCGCTCAGTCGCAACTGATAAATCATAAATCATCTATATACTTGTGGTCCGTGCGTTCATGACATATTCATTTCGGTATGCAGTAGGTAGATATTGTGTGCTGTTTGCACTCAGATGCAACTCATTGATTTCTTTCGCATACCTCCAAAGTCCAGTCAATCGTTATTCACATATCTCGTTGCTCTTACTATTTGAACCATACTTACAGTCGTTTCGCCTACCACGACTTCTACAACAGCCATTTCAACCATGAACCTAAAGTTGAGGTATTCCAGCTTAGCCACCCCCTCTTGATACCTATCAATTTGTTCCTTCTCCTCACATAATTCCTAGTGTTTCGAGTTATACATGCTGCATTACGACCAGGCAGCTGCTTCCCTAACAGCAAGTCCTTAAGAAAGACTAATAAAACACTTGCCACCATGGGCGGTTCCGCGTTTTCATCTGGAAGCAATCCGCTTTTCACTCCACGGATGTCTCCCAGGGTATATCAACATATTCTCAGTACATGCCATGCCAAGCTTCTGGAACTATTTTTCGTTGTCGCCACTCCTATCGAAGGCCCTGAAAAGAAGGACCACGGCGATATCGATATCTTCGTAGCGGTAGAAAAATATGCTGCATTTCCGTCTTCTGGGATTCACAGCACCTCACTCCCGCCATCGACTCACGAGTCCCTCAAGGCTGCTGCAATCCTTCTCGGCGCTGAATATTCCATCGGGGAGCAACCAAACGCTGTTAACTTGGCTATACCGTGGCCGAATGACTTACCTCAGGAGGAAACCAGTGGCGATGTGCCTCGCTATATCCAAGTCGACCTGCATCTGTGCGACTCTGTAGAACACCTGCAATGGATGCTACTCAAGTATGCCCATGGTGACCTCTGGAATATTCTTGGAAGTACTATCCGCCCGTATGGCCTCACAATTGACGAGGTCGGCTTATACATACGTATCCCCGAAATCGAGCATTTAAACAAAAAGCAATCTAAAGTCCTCCTTAGTAGCGATCCCATGGAGATTCTTAGTTTTTTAGGCCTCAAGTACGATAGTACCCAATGGGAACGGCCATTTGCGTCAATGGAGGACCTTATGGAGTATGCGGCTACATGCCGATTGTTTTGGGTGCGGCCCGAACAAGATGATAGCGCGACGGAGGTCGACGGGGGTGACTTTGACAAGAGCAAGATGAAGGCTAACGACCGCCGCCGTATGAAAGGGCGTGCGGCCTTTCGAAAGTGGTATGACGAGTTCATTCCTGCATGTCGCGAAGCAGGACGCTTCACCACGCCCATTTCAACCCGGGACACAGTACGTGAGGATGCCTTCGAACAGTTCCCCGGCACGCGACATGTCTATAAAAACCGACTCCTCGAGTGGCGCAAAGAGCAGCAGCGACAGACGCTTGGGCGGGAAGTTATCAAGGCGTCAATACCGGAGTGGAAAGAAGGTGAAGAGGAGCATAACAGAAAACACCTGCGCAGCTTGGCGGCTAGCTCTCTAAAGAAAATCATCATGCAAGATGACTACAGTCTAGGCATACATCCGCCATTACCGCTGCGCGACCCTGATGGGTTTTATAACGAGGATCTAGTTAGGGAATTCGTCGTAGATAACTGGAGACGAGTTGGCGAAGCTGCTTGGGAGGAAAGCCAGAAAAGGTATGCTGAGCGACTTGCAGAACAGGGAGATAAGCGCACGTCTTAAGAGTTTTAGAATGGTAGATAAATTACCGTGGTCAAGGAAAGGGTTGTTGAAAAATGAAATGGATTAGAGACTAGCTTATGGTCGGACAAAATGTGTGTTACTCAAGGTCAGCGCAAACATCTCACAATGGTGTAGGGAGGTAACTTAGCGACAGAAAGATGTGGGTATTTAGACGAGTGGGTTATTATTTAGGGGATAGGGGGTGCGCCGTATTGAATAGGTCTCTACCTGGACTTACCACCGTAAATATCATAAAAGCCTTTGAAAGTGCTCGTGACACGAAACAACCAAACCAGGTAGATACAGCATAGAGCATTAATTTATTATTCTTCAGTCTACGTATCTTGCTTAAATGTAAACCGATGACCCAACCCCCTGAAAATATAACAGCTAACTTGAGTGAATTAGGACATACATATTTGTTCTATAGCTTAAAATCCGCATTCGTCTTCTCCCATCCTAGCGGTGTAGGCTGCTTCGAAGCCACCCGCTCTGCGAGTCTGAGCTTAAGGTTCTTATGTCTGTCGGTACAGAGCTCGTACACCGTAGTCAGATTGAATAGCAATGTGTGAGATGTCGAACCCGCATCCACAAGACCTTCTAGTGTATCCCTTGCCTGGGTAATTGTTAGCACCAAGACAGCTTTGCACTGATTAGAAACTTACCTCAGTCATGTTTCCTGTATAAAGCTGGCACACAGCGAGATTAACCCCGACCATCTCGTCATGTACGTCGTTCTCCTCCATCGTTCCCTTCAATACTTGCCACTTCTCTAGCGCGACCTTATACTCACCGTCCGCCATGTCAGCTAGCGCATCCAAAACACGCTCTCCCATCTCCCCACCCTTGCCGTCTCTTACACATCGCCGCGCTGCTTCAACATCACCCAGGTGTAACCACAATAAAGCCTGGCTCATAGCCAGCCGCCCATCACCACCAGCCTTAAAGTGCTGGTTTCCATCGCCCAGCGTAGCAAGGTGCTCCACCGCACCCGCCAGATCATCCATCTCAATCAACACGCCCGCAACCTTAACCCCAAGCTCCGCAAGCCGATGCTTCCAAAGCTCGGAAGCGGAATGATCATGCGCCTTTCCCGCCTTGGTAATCTGCGTACGTGCCTCCCTTGCTAATTCATAGTAGCTCATGACAGCGCGTCGGGGATCGCCAAAACCAATGGCTTGCAGGCGCACGCCGAGGATACGCAGCTCCCAGGGCACTAGGTGCGCGCCGGACAGGGGATCCAGGTAGAAGGCCGAGTTAAGGTCCTCGAGGGCCTTGGACTCCTGGGCGGCGAACGACGTGGCGTCGATAAGGCACAGACACGCCAACCGTGTGTACAGCAGCTCGAAGATGCGCGCGTGGTCGGTGGGGTTAACGGGTGGATGCGCGGCTGCAGCGACAACGGAGACAGGGCTACTTGTTAGTGCTTGAACCGCAGCTATGGCGGCCGCGCGGAAGTGCCCATTGTTAAGGAGCTCTGGGATAGGTGTTTCTGGCGCGGGCTGTCTAGAAGGATGGCGGAAGGGAGCTGGGATGGATAAGGGTGAGAGTTGGTGGTAGATCTCGGGTCTTAGAAGGAATGAGAAGTCCTTGGATGTCACTGGCGCGATAGACGGAGCCGGAGATCTAGATGCCGGAGAAAATCCCCGGGAGAGGCTTCGCGGACTAGCCTGTTGGCTGTTACTGAAACGACTGGCTTGAGACAGTATGGGAGACGCTACAGGATGTCTAGGGTCTCAGTGTAAGCAGATATTGTATAATTGTTAATGATCACCGATGCTTACTCATCCGAATCGAGCGGCCCCTTAGTTGATGATCTAGGCCGAGAAGCTATGGATTGAAATATGTTAGCAAAAGACATCTTGGTTTTACATAGCTACTGTTATTGAAGAGGTGGACAAGGTGGTGATAATAATAATAATAATAATAGAAGGGAACATTGATGTAGCGTGGGGTTAACGTAATTCCTATAGGATAGACGCACTTGCAGTCAATTAATGTTGCTACCTCCCCCCTTTACGAGAAGAATCGTAGGTATGATAATAGCCTATCATCCCTTTGTAATCTCTAAATGAATTAATTCCAGGGATTATTATCTGATTTCGATTCGAAATTGAAGAATTAGATGTAACCGAAAGTCTACTCACGCCTCGCGCCTGATTTATTCCTCGTATGTCCCGTGGAGGAATTCCTTTGCACTGGCTGATCCATGTTTGGTTATCTTGCGGCGAAGGAACTTACGTCACAATAAGAGGCCGCGATGAATGGAACGACGTTTGCTTGCTTACCTATTCGGATGAACCTCGGCAGACTTTATTCAGAACTGGATACTTGGATATTCCGATAATATGCATACTACTACCTCTTTTATGAATATAGGATATTTAATTAGAGAGCTTAGCATATCCCAGGGGAAGTCAACTCCGTACGGTGCCTAGTACTTGTGTAAAGCATCATGATATTTCGTCCAATTGATATCATGAAAATATGACGATATAACTCCAAAGTATTATCGGGTTAGGGAATTAATAGGACTATATTGGCTTGACATGATTACGTGATATTAGATAAACAGAATAGGGGCCAGACTAAAGTCCTAGAGAAATGACCAGATATAAATGAGACAAAGTTACCACCAAGATAACACCGAAAGGTCTTTTACCCTATATCATAGTTATTTAGCAGCGTGGATGAGGGTATGACCCAAATAAATATATATCGGTATCTAAGGGATATTAAAATTAATACAGATCTGGGTAGACTTTAAGATTCCCAATATGTATCATAACACTATATAACTTATGAGATCATCTAGTAGAGATCTTATAGTGTTTTGGTTAGTTGATACTTATCAACTAATTAAATTATTATCTAAAGACAATTGAACGATTACCCATCACCAATGTGACAAAGAGTGTATTGATTTAACTACCCGCTTCAAGGGGCTATTACTAACTTAAAAGACATATTTGAAACCTTTAACCTATTGCTAATACCCCCCCTTTCCAGTAGACCATGACCTATTGTGAACCAAACGCAAACGCTTAAAACCAATCGCCATCTCTTATAGGGTCTTTCAATGCGGGAGTCTCCCAAACCATATACCATTGTACATCTAAGGGTCTTTTGTACTTCCCTCCTGTGGCATCTTTTCTTTATCCTTAAGTGGCTGGCATGAGGAAGGGGAAGGGGGCGGTGGCGGTGGCGGTGACGGGGGAGGGGGAGGGGGAGGGGGAGGTTGCTCTGGGCCCTGGGAAGAGGAGCCTCGGGGAGGACGAACCGCTCTTGTGCGTAGGTCTGGTCGAGGAGGTTTCGCAGATGAAGATTCGTCAGGGGCCAGTAAAAGGCTGATCAATGCCTCAATGAGTTTGTTCTCAGAGCTGGTGCAGAGACGAATAGAGCCTTCACCCACATCTTCAATCTCAGGCTTAGGCTCGTTATCCTTCTTAGGTGGGAACAGGGGTACCTTCTTGTTCGCATATTGAGTTGCATTTAGCAAGAGATTTATAAGTTCCTCCACAGTTTCCGGTTTGATTGTATCTCCTCCTTCCAGGAGCTTTGGAAGGTCTTGGGTAAGAACATAGTCCTCCAGCCCTGGGACGTATTTAGATATCACGCGGAATGCTTCTTGTAGAATGACTAAGTAGTGTCCCAGATGAGTACCATCAATCATGGTGACTCTTTTTGGAATCTCTTCCATTTCTTCTAGGAGTTTCTAGTCCCTATCTGGTACATTAGATAACATTGCTACGATTCTCCGGTTGAATCTTTCGGCTTCTTTTTGGGATACCATTCTGAGAGCAACAAGAATTATTAGCATTCCCCTTAAAGGTGAAGCAATATATATGAGAGGGTATTTGAAAGAAGGGAGCTGAGGCATACGTGAAGCTTGTTGACTACCAGTAACCTAAATCCCGTCTGAACAATGATTGTTGGGTAAAAGGTCTCCTAGGCAGAGATTTTGTGCAGTAATAGCTAAAGTACCGGAATAGCAACGAAATAGAGTAATTGGTATAGAGACATTATTTTGATGCGCATAAGTATGGCGTCGAGACTAATTTTTTTTAACTTGGTTAATCACTGGCACCTTAGATACTAAGATGTAATATCGTAACTTGGATATAGTATCCCTTTCACTTGCCTGGAAAAGAAAAACGGAAAGTGCGGAAAGACTAGAAATTTGGCAGACAGAGGTTAGGTAAACATTAGGAAGGCGCCAATAGTGAAGGACCTTTTAGAACAGTAACCGTCTTAAAAACGACAAGTGTACGGCAAGTGTACGGCAAGTGTACGACACTTTAAGTTGCCCTATAACTTCCGTGCACTAGAGTCAGGATCATGTCGACTACCTAAGGTAATAACATTGTCTCTAATGCACCTGCCGTGCCGGAAGGTACATACAACTGTCGCCAAAATATCTATCTACGTAGCTTCCTTTACGTAGCAACTGCCAAACATAACTTCCTTTGCGTAGCAACTGCCAAACGTAACTTCGGTTCAGGAATTACTGCCAACTCACCGCCAACTTAGCGCCAGGCAAAAAATGTTCCAAAATAGATATAAACACGGCCTCCTCCCCGAGAATAACTTTTTTCTTTCCACCATTCTCAACAGTTAACATTTTCACATTTACATCCTCTCCTATTCTAAACTTAATACTTATCCTAACACAATAACATCTAACAATTACTTAAAATACAGCAACAATATGGCAAGCGACAAGAAATGTCCCTTTTACTAGGTGAACAATTATCATAATCAACTACATAACCTCTTCATTTAATTTTACCGAACTATTGCATAGCAGTTCAACCAAATAACACCATTAGCACCAATGACAATAACTGGTGTGTTAATATTCTAAGCTTCATACTACAACGTGTTGTATGTATCAACTATCGCAAAAGCTAAACAAGGTATCTACTTCTTCTACGCTTCCAAAACTAACATTTATTAACACTAAGAAACATAGGGGCTATAGAGGTAATCCTCCCTTCTAAGCGCAACACTATAGCCTACCTGTCTAATTGGGTATGTTCTCTAACACCGTCCGCCAATTTGCATTCAACTCCCTATAACCTATTATTAGGTAAATAACCCTGTTTGGTATTTTTTCTAACCTTATATTCGCATATAGCTGGCACCCCGAAGGTTCTAAGGATATGGACAAAGGCCTCCCTCCCCCCGACGTGCCCAACAACCAACGGCGCTCGGGGAAGGGTTAATTCATACGGTAGATGTCACATCCTGATCAAGGGAAGAACTAGCGGCGCCGTTATGAAAAACGGGAATGGGAACATTCGTTCCCACCTGTCGAAAAAGCAGGGCTGGCCCCCTATAAATATAGCCTTCGATCACACCTTTCTAAAATCACGACAAATTATACAATCAAGAATATGTCTCACCACAGAGAGCATAATCGAGAGCGAAATGACGACGATCATGGCAAACTCATAACACAACAACCTATGAAAGAGATTCCATTTTGTAGCAGAGTTTGCAATTAATCTCACGGTATCCCGGGCTTATCGTTTCCTTAGCCGGAGCCACCGATGTCTCTATTTTCACAAGGTAATATAACATCCCTGTATTGACCATTGTCATGATCTTAACTAATGGCCTTATAATAGTCGGTGCTTCTACATATTAATAAACTTATATCGGTATAAAGCTACCAACTATCTATACATAACGAATAACTCGACCTGAGCTCCTCTATACGACAATCCTAAGGCTCTATGGTCCAGCAATAGGCAGGGCGGGACGGGGTGCCATCTTCAAGATCAAACTCTACAATAACAAAGACGATAATAAACCTATTCAATAGTATGTCCTTTCTCCTAATACTTTATCACGATCCTTACTAACCTCGTTTGGGAAATAGTAATAAAACTATGTCACTTTTATATTCGACACAGAGTTGCAAGCTTTCAAATCCAAGGCCGACGCCGTCTCGCTCCGTGCAGCAGGAGCTAACAAAGACATATATGGCATCTAGAAACACCCCTAATAACAGGGAAAGACGGAAAATTCCATTGCACGAAAGACAAAAAGGCTCTCTATGTGAGGGACCGTAGTAGATTACTACAAAGCGACGGTAATTTTGAGGCTCCTGAGAGAACATAAGGGTACCTATATATACACTAAGAACAGGGGTTCCAGTGTAAAAAGATAGTGCTTCTAGACATTAATGCTAGACACTACGGCTTGGCAGAAATATGTATTGAGAAGTATAGTACAATACTTCAAAGCATACTATGCTCGAGTCGCAGGGTGAATATTATTAAATTAGTAGAAAAATATTATATAGACAAGGTGTATTTAGGCAGAATAACGTCAAAAAAGCTGGCGCACCCCACCAACACATACAGAGGTTGTGATACATTTTAAAAAGTTATTCAACACTCCAACGTACCTCTACAAAAATGAAAAATTAAAAGAACTAAATTGAAGTCTTAAATAAAAATTATATCATTTTTTAAACTTTTTATTCGTTCTTAAATCCATTAAAATATAGCTGTTAAAAGTTAGTGTGTTTTCAGTATTAGTAGACCTTTTTGACGCTATTCTGTCAAGTCACATGACATTCTGGATATATCCACGCCTCCCATACAAGAAATTTATGTACTCTTTGCACAGGGGTCCCCACTTAGCTTCATCCAGTAGCTTGGAAAATCGTTGATCCACATTATTCTTTTTTCTTGCAATTGATCAATTAAAGCAACCTACTAAGAGCTATTCTCGACCCGATTTTCCCCGGAGATATTGGAGGTTTTGGTGTAGAAGCACGAAGAGTACGTATCTAACAAAAGACAAGAAGGCTACAACGTTGGAGGAGAACCGAATTCCTAGGAACGAAAACAGCCGTGAGGAGGGTGAACGAGATATCGAGGATTAAGTTGAAGGTTGCGCTCGAGCTATCAGCTACTTACTCGCGGTCTTAAGTTGCGGCGGAAACGGGTAACCGACGAAGAGAGAAGTAGCAACGACGAGCCGTAATCAGAGATCATAGGATCATAGGTTTGGGCGAGGAGACATAGCGACGATTAAAAAGATACATTATACGCAGACTTAAGCACCATGTTCACACCTACCTTCCGCGGCCTCTTCACGAGGCTTCCATCGACTACTCCTCTCTCCAGCCTCTTCTATGGCCCATCACCAAGTCGGACTGCTGCCGCGACGGCTGTAGGAGCATGTTCATCGCCTTTATTCTCCACACCTGTTTCTCGGCAGATACATACCACGACTCCTCAAAATGCGAGGATCGGTGGCGGAAAAGGTTCTAGTGCTAAAGGTTCAGGCAGCAAAGGCTCTGGGAAGAAGAAGCGCAAGGGAGGGAAGGGCGATGGCCCGGATCCCAGAATCATGAACCTGAAAGCTTCAATGCCCCGTGCCGTTCCCGCCCCTCTGAGATTCGCGCGAAACCGTGCGCTGCGTCACTGGACTATTCATCGCGCCTGGTTATTGTACCAGCGCAAGGAGCGGGATAGGGAGGCGCACGAACTGGAGCGGTATGTCTAATCTCGCATATATTTTCCTTGATACTATGTTGTGACGATACGTTTACTAATCGGATACGTAGGATGTATCAATCGATGCATAATGCCTGCGAGGAATTGCGCAAGACTAGTGGGCCTGGCACGCGGGACGAGGGATACTTGTATCGTGTGGCTATGGAAAAGAAAGGTGTATACGGGCACAACAGCATCCCGATCGAGTATGCGAGACCACAGACGGAAACACCGGCTCGCGAGCCTTGGAATCACGGCTGGACCCGGTGAGGGAGTCCTCATCCGGCCCGCATCCGAATTCCCGGTCTAGAATTCGTGTAACATAGAATCGTCTCCGACATTACGTGGACTAGAAACTGTCGTATCCAATGAACTATTAGCTGCATATCTGCTGCGTAAGCTTCGGGCACGTCTGCGTGCGTTGTTTTTGTTTTACTCTCATCCGATCGCCACTTTACCTTGGCATGTAGAGACGTGGAAAGATGCAATTAATTAGATCGTTCGATCATATACTTTGATGCAGATGCAACGCTTACGGTAGCTGCAGTCATGGACATGCCTAGTTGGGGAGGTAGATAGATGTGGTTTTTCTTAATGAATGTTTGCTCGATCCCCTTGGGCCGACCCTCGGTAAGAAGACAAGGCATGGAAAGGAGTGAGGGAAAGTAAGTAAATACTAGATCCACTTTGAAACTGTTGGGAACGCTTCGCCGAAATCCTATGCTTCACATTACGTTAGAGGCGGACTATTATCAATGTGAAAATTAATGCTCTGATTCAAATGCTTCTCCTTATTAACAATAACTATTTTCTCTTCTCGCGATAGAGAACGTTGGGATTTCCAGGATCAGCTTCACTAATCAGTTCATTTTCAGTCTGTTTCCAACCTAGATACAGCAGTAGTCTGTCATGGTGGTTTCGTCCGTGGGTGAGCGAGGGTGATGATATCGCACTGGAAGTAGTAGTAGATCTCCTTGAATACTTCGATAAATAGTTGGGGTGGGTTAGATAGATAGATTGGTTCGTGATGCTGGGTACGTAGTTTGTAGGGCCTGACAAGAGCTCGTCTCGTTCGAGGTAGATTGCTGGCTGTTATGAATCCCAATCCCCAATTGCTTCCTCCGGCACGCATAATCCGAGCGCCTCCTCCTTCTCCGCCTCATCAGCTCCTCTCCTCTTTCTCTTCTTCGGCCTCCTCTTGTAATATTCCAACAAAAGCAAAACAAAAGGGAAAGAAAAAAAATAATAGTATTTCGGAATAGATATTCAATTCCGCCTAAGCCAAACTCCACTAAGTGAACACCCATTTTTGGTTTAAATCTGTTCCTCCGGGGACATTTCCTGCTCGTGTTCGTGATGTCGATTCCCGTGGCCCATTCTACAAGTCGCGTCGAGTCCGTGCCGTGCCGTACTGCGCTGCGCTGCGCCGCCTTATAATATAACACAGCATCCGCCGCCTTCGCCCTTTTCGAAGGTGAGGAGAGCGGCGCGGGTGGCGGCCTCAAACACATCGTCGACACCTTCTCCGCTCAAACTCGAACACTCAAGGTACTTGCGCGCGCCGATCTCCTGCGCGGCTTGTTCGCCTTGCCGTTCCGTCACGAATTTTAGGCTCTTCTTGCGCATCTCCTCGATCGCTACTGGGTCGTCTCGTAGATCCTTCTTTAGTCCTACTAAGATGATTGGGACGCCGGGGCATCGTTCTGTTGCTTCTTCTACCCACTATTTCTGTTGTTAGCTAGGATTGTTCCGTTGTCTCGTGTTGCTCGTAGTGTGGAACGGGAGTTGAGTAGAAGCGGGGGGGTTGTCCGACCTTGTGCTTCACGTTGTCAAGAGAATCAGGCGACTCGATCGAAAACCCTATTAGTAGTACATGCGCCTTCGAGTATGCGAGCGGTCGCAATCGCTCGTAGTCTTCCTGACCAGCCGTATCCCATAATGCTAATTGTACCGACTTGCCGTCAACTCTGCAATCTGTTACGTAGTTCTCAAATACGGTCGGAATCTAAGGGGGGCGCGAGAATCGTTAGTCCGTCGGCTAGGTAAGCTTATGATAGGGTCCGTGATGATGTCTGCTTACATAGTGCTATATGTAATCTGTTAGTAAATGTCTGCCCGGAAGTGCGGAAATGAGAAGAAGAAATTAGGGGGAGGGTATGGGAAAACGTACGGTTGGAAAGTATCCGAGCGTGAAGACGCTCAGTAAAGAGGTCTTGCCGCAAGCTCCATCGCCAATAATGACTAGTTTCCTAATGATCCAATTAGTATTGCGTTAATTCGTATAGTAAAACATAATAATAGTCGAATGCGAAGGACCGTAGATAAAAAGAAATCGTAGTTCGGTAGGTCTGGCTAAAACGATGACAGGCTCGAAAAATAGGGGTGACGTCGTGAGTTGCGCGCGTGATGGTTGTTCGAAGACAAACGAAAATAGATCGACAGCCAAGGTGAAAAGCATACCTGCGAATAACATTCTGCGGAGTTGAACTCGCCATTTCTCGACGCGAGGTGAAGTGCACCAATCCCAAGAGGGGCTAATAAGTTCGTGTCGTATGTCTCGTCGTCGGAATAAACTTCTAGATTCGTTATGTTTTTTTTAGGACGCGTAGACTAGCGAAAGAGTTCGAAAGTCTATTTCTCGTTATCCCCGGCTTGGGGGTGTCGTCACCTCGTGTCGGATTGGAATTGAAATATGTAAGCGCAAATATAAGGCCTCCGGTGAACAAAAAAAAAGTTGACGTGAGTTTGTCTAAGTTATTACTTTCGAATAAGGAATAGGAGCTTTCCAACGGGTCTCCGGGTCAGGGCTCTAATAACGAATCAATCGTTGATGATATTAGATGTTTCCAGATTCCCCAATGGAGTTGTTATCTTGTTTCTTCGAATTATACTCTTTTACTGCCCTTCTGTGTTATCTTAAAGATTTAAGTATGTTTGGGTTAGAAAAAATTGATCGAATACGAGAGGCCTGCACACCAGAGCCGGGTTTCGCGGTCGAATTTAAAGCCTTCCGTTTAAAGGATTCCCTGGAGTTCCTTAGTCCCTGTCGGTGCTATCCCCCCCTGTAACTTGGTAATTCAGCTTCAAGAATAGAGCGATACAATTGGTCGGATTCGATACCGGACCTTGACTTGTCGCGAATGTGTCCAGCTGTGTTAGACTAATATAGCAGCTCTAAGAGCCTTACTATTAGACAGGGGGGGAGGAGTCCAGTTCAATTTATATACCTTTAGAATTCCGCCGTCGTATAGATGAAAAACCGGCCTTAAAAACATTACTATTATTCTTGTTATTTATCATGACTTCTACACACAACATGCTAAGCTGATGTAAAGCTGCGAGATGCCGCCACTCAGCTGTAGCCATGCTAAACCCCGAGAGAACGCTACGTTACAAGGACCTGGCTAGATCAAACAAACTGCCCAGGCCGTGCCACAGCATCAGTTAATCAACAAGGGGGTTGTTGTGAACAGAATTGATTTTCTCAGCGCAATTGGTCCGACATAATTCGGGATAGGATGATGGATGCCAACTTTAACAGCTGGTGAGTGACTTGGCTGTTAAACAGCCAGATCGTAAACTATGAAGGAGCCAGTGATCATTAAGAATAGACAGTTATATGTTAAAAAAAAACTGCGATGCTACTTCGTTGCTATTCGACCAGTTAACGATATACGCTGTTACTTGCTGATTGTTGCGAAGCATGTTTGATGATGAATTAATGAATGGGAGTGGAACCCAATAATATGCAAAGTGGTTCTTCCTTGTCCACTCACTTGGCTTCGCTGGGAATATCTGATAGCCTATGCAGACTGGCAGAATAGGTAGACAGGAGAATCTGAAGCTATCGATTCGTCAACGTCGAGAAATCAAAACCGAGCTAACCTGTCAAGCTGACCGCTCCCGCTTCGTCGCACTGACCCTACTTAGATCGCCCAACGGCTGCAGGTCTCAGCATTGAAAATTGGGAATGGTGCATGTCTCTGCTGCATACTCCCCTCTTAATCCTACTTGAACCCGCTGGTAATAAGTTGCTATACATACATACATAATGACCGTGTCCGACCACACTTTTTTATTGAGGCGATCATCATGGAGAAGAGGTCGAACATAACATCGGTTTGACGCCATTGGCTTGTAGTAATTATTAATTTTCGTACGTGATTTCCAGCACTGTATGTAGTTTGACAAGTTGTGCTACATGTAAGTAAGACCTCTCTTATTGATTGACCACCTAAGTTAGGTAGGTATCTAGTCATCATGATGTAGCACAAGTCATGTTTTTTTTTAGTAGTTATTGTTATTGGTAGTGTTAGCAGTACACGGCCAATACATACAAACCAAGTGCTTCAGTTATGGAACACTAGTCTGTTGGCCTCAGCCAAATACACATGTCTCCCGTTGCAAGGCGTGGGGAATAACTGAAACCATTAAATTTGTTTGGGGGACGCTAAGAGCTAAGATGCAACTCCTTTCACGCACATGGTCAAATATGTGAGGAATGCCTTGGGCAACTTGCATTCCGGTATGTATTACTTACGCGTAAGGATAATCCACATTGCAATTAACCTAGCAGTTATATTTCTCTTCGGAATAATTTTAGTTATTTATTTTTATTTTTTTCTTTAAAATAGGCCATTGATATAACAATCTATGTAATGAACTTTAGGATTATTTTAAGAATATATAACATTAAGTATCTATACGTGATAAATAAAATCATTTATAATGTTTTAATTAATGTTATAAACCTGGTAGTTTACTATAGCGGCAATTATTGGTTATTTAGAATAATTCCTTATATAAATTATCATATTACCCATAATAATAATTAAAATAGGTAATACCATATTAATTTACGTAATTATTTTTTATAAGAAAATCATTCCTCCAAATATTATTATTCTTATTAAAAAAACCATTTCTCCGAAAATTATTATTCTTTTTAAAAAAATTATTCCTTTATTATTTATCATTTCTTTATTAATAATCATAATTTTATAAATAATCATTTTTATATAAACAATCATTATATTATATACAATACTTTTATTTTTAATAATCATTTTACTTCTTATAATTATTCTCTTTTTAATAATCTTTTTATTCTTAATAATTTTTTTATTTTTAATAATTTTTTTATTTTTAATAATCCTTTTATTTTCAATAATCCTTTTATTTTTAATAATCTTTTTCTTTTTAATAATCTTTTTAAAATCCCAATTTAAACTACTACTATTATATTAATATATTAATTTATTTATTTAAATATTTTAAATTTTATATTTAAATATATAAATATTTTATATTTACCTTTACTATTATATATTTTTTATTAAAAGATTAACTTATCTAAAATATAAATATCCAATATTTTTTAATTTTATTTAAATTATATAAAACCAAATTTGGCATAATAACTTTAAATTAAATTCTAAACTTAATATACCATAATATTTTAATATTAAAGTTAATAAATTATAATAATATTATACAGTAATAAATTTAAATTATAAAACTAACATATTATAATTATTTAACGTTTAAATTTAAACATTATAATAATATAATTATTATATTTAACTTAATATAAACTATTAACATTTTATATTAATATAATATAATTAATAAAATTTATATAAATTTTATATAAAAATAATAAAGTTAATAATTTTATACTTAATAATATTAATTATTAAAAAAATAAACTAAATTTTAAAAATTGGCTAAATATAAAAATATTTATTAATATTTTTAACTTTATACCATAAATACCTTTTAATTTATTAATAAAATTGGTATATTATATAAAAACGTTAACATATAAAATTTATTTAATTTTTTAAATAATATATATTTTAAAATTAAATTAAATTTACTTTTTATATATAATTAACGTTTTATTTTATATAAATAATTTTAATATTATTAATAAATATTAAATATAATTTTACCGATTTAATAATTATAATTTTAACAATAATAAGTTTTATATTAAATATTTAAAAAATCTTTAAATTTAAAAAACTATTATAAATAATAATAAAATATAAAGATATTATTATTACAAATATATATTTATTATTATATATAATAAAAAAAAATATATGGTTTAAATAAATAAATTTATATAATTTTTTATATTAAATATAATCATTTTTACCAAAAATAAATTAATTAAAAATAATATTATTAAATTATAATAATTAATTTCTATATTATATATTATATTTATATTAATAAGATATTATTTAAATATTAATATTAATAATTAAATCCAAATTTATAAACCTATTAAATATTAATATTATTTTTTTATATTTAAAAAAAATAATTATTAAATCTATAATTTTATTAATATATTTATTAGAAATTTTTTAAAAATAAAATATAATTAAAATTACGTAAATTTCTATTTTTTATTAATAATATATTACCGTTATATATAACATAAATATTACATTAAATCTTTTTCTTTAGAATATAATTAATAATATAAATATTAATATGTATATTATTTATATATATTACAACTTTTAACTTTATATTTTTTATTTTTTTTATATTAATTAATTTATTCTAATTAAATTAAAAAAAAACCTTTTTTAATAAAATAAGATATTTTTAATATAAATATTAGATTTTAATTATAAATTTAAGATTTTATATTTTAAAACCATTATGTAAAATAAAATAAATTATTATTTAAATATTATATTTAAATAATAAAACTTTTTTAATATTAAAATAATTTATTTCTTTTATATAACATTTAAAATATTTATATATATTAAATTATTTAAAAAATATATATTAAATATTTTTATAATATAATATTAAATTTAATTTATTAATATAAATTTTTATTAATTAATATGGTATAATTATTTATTAAATTATATTTTTTAATTAAATTAAAATAATATATAATAATATAAATATTTGATTATATTATATTATTTATATATTAAATAAACCATATTAAACCTTTTATAATATTTTTAATAAAAAGATTAAAAAAAGTAGATAAATTAATATTAAAGTTAATTAATATAATTAATATAACGTATAATTTATTTAATAATATAAATGTAATTATATATAATTTATTAAATCATTTTTTAATATTTTTAATTAAAAATGATAAATTATTTCGATTTAATTTTAAAATTTTAAAATTTATAAAAACTATATTATTTTTAGTAATTACAATATAAATCTTAATAATAAATTTTATAAAATTATTATACAAATTTACTTTGTTAATAAAATTAATTTTAATATATTTAAATTTTAATTAATTTTGAAAAAATGTTGGTATAGTAATAAACTATATAATATAAAAAGATATATTATAATTTATTAAATAATATTTTAATAATTATAAACGTTATATATCCGGGGGGAATGGCCATATCTATAAATAAATAGAATATTTTACTATTATTAATAATATTAAAATAATATTTTAAAAAAAAAAATATATTAAATTTAA